CGTCGCCAACGTTCCCACGACGTCGATGCACGACGTTCTCACAACGTCCAACGCTCACGTTTCTTTGACGTTGAACTGAAGTTCATAAATGACGTCCCATTACCGTCCTGTCCGTGACGTGCTGGCGACGTCGCGTTTCAACTTTAACGTCTTCATCGTCGCCACGACGTCAAGACAAGACGTTTTAGCAACGTCGAACACTCACGTGTCTTCAAAGTTAAAATAAAGTCCAGGGTGACGTTACATTATTGCCCCGTCAGTGACGTTTCTGCGACGTCGCGTTCACACCTAAATGTCGCAAACGTCATACAAGACGTGCTGGCAACGTCGACCACTCACGTTTTGTTCGTCGTTTTTAGATTTTCCAGCTCAATCTCCAGCCGCAGAATCACTGTGGTCAAGGTGACAGCGCTCAAGAGCCGCAAACAAAACTTATTTTTTGAGAGGTTGAGAAGTTTAATTATTTATACATTAATTTGCGTATTTCAAAAAGCTATTAATTGCACATCGATGACGCTAAAGAGGGTATTTACAAAACTCAATGTACACGGAAGGAAAAAAATAATATGAAAGCATGTTGGGAATATCATTCCTTTTAGATGTGCTTGTTATAATTTTGGTTTGTTTAAAATACTGTTACTGGTTTAATTTGCGAAGCCCATGGCGTCTAGAACGGATCGAATTGTACCATTCTTGCATTTTGCACGCGCGTTGTCGGCTTCCATGGGTCCTGGGCCCTGGCACGCGCCTCAGGGGCGCCGCTACACTATCCCCTCTCCAGGTGATTTCAGGCCTGCATCCTTTCCTAGGAGCATCCACACTGCTCCGCGACCACCCGAGATTGTTTTAAGGTTTTAAGGGGGGGGGGGGGGGGGGGGGGGACACAACGTTTTCCCACGACGGCTAGGGAACGTAATTTGGAAAGGTTTCTCGACGTTCTGTGAACGTCGTTGGTAGTCCGGATGTCATAAGCACACGTATCATAAACGTCGAGGTAGGACGCAGTGGCCCACTGAGACGTGCATGTGACGTGCAAAAAACGTCATTTGGAACGTCCCCTCGACCTTCTGTGCACCTTTTCTCGCGGACATTTAAAGGTTTCATCGACGTCGAAAGAAGGTAAAGTCCGGACCTTCGACGTTTTACGACGTCACGTAACAGACGTCTTCGACGTTCTTTCGACGTTTTCTTCACGTTTGTGTGCTGCTTGGGTCAAGCGACTCCTGCGCTTGAAGGTCGGCATTGGCTGATTTTGGATTTCTCGTGGAATCAGCAAAAACACGGAGAGTAGCACCCATGAGTGCAACTCGCGGTGTCGCATCCATCGACACGGAGAGTGTTGCGTCCATCCATTCAAGAAGCATGTTAGTTTTTGGCAGGCAGCAGTCGTTGGGGTCACTGGCATTTTGCAGCACTGCTGTCGTAATCGCGTATCGCCGTTTCATGCAAGTGCTCAACGAACCGAAATGAACCAGTGGAGAGCGTGGCCCTGCATTCCTCTCGAGCCATCTGCCAGGAGGAGTGCTCTATCTGGTGCCGCGAGTTGCACATGCGCATTGCTGAGCCAAGTACTAAGCGGCTGTTCGCGCTCAGTGCACACCCTCTGATAGTTCAGCAACGCTGGAATTGAATTTGCAACGCGACAGCGTTTTTAGAACGTAGCTCTTAAGCTACGTTCTAAAAATTGGCGTCGCGGAGGCTTGCCGCTTGACGCTGGGCGCCGCGGGCTGCCGACCAAGACCAGTTTTCGCCTTCAGCGGCGCGCCTGACGGCGCCTCCAAGCCAACCGGTCGTTGCGCGGTTCAGAGCTCGCCGCTCCTCGCCGCAGAAGAGAGGAGCCAATGGGAGGTGGCGTAGATAGTGACGTCGCGATGCCATGGCAACGCGCAAGCCGGTTCTCTGCACGCCGTTTACGTTCCGAAGGAACGTAGCGTTGTTTCGTTTCGTCTGCTGTCCCTCCCTATTTCCCCCAATGCCTTTCCCAACGGAGCGGTTCGTCGAAACTGTGCGACTGTTTCCCTTTTTATATGACAAGACGAGGCCAGACTACCTAAATAAGGACGCTTAAAACAACCGATGGGAGATTATAGGAGAGGGATTCTGAACTACAAGCGAGTTTCTCCGTGGCACTTGTTGCATGTCTTCTGTGTTGTGACGGAGGTCGTGTTGATTTGGTGACACTTTCGAAAGTAGCCTTCATCTCTGGCGCGCCGCCGGGGCAGCTGTCATTCGGTGTTTCGGTAGAACCGACTCGGCCGGACCCAAAACCTGCGCCTCCTTCTCTTTAGAGCGCGACGACGTCGCAAGACCGGGCCCTAAGCTGGACGCTTGGCGAAAACGACGGCGAGAAATTTGGCGGCCGCGATTGGCCAACGCCACACTTGACCTTGGCGCCGGCCAATCATAGCCGCCGAATTTCTCGCCGACTTTTCCGCCAAGTGTCCAGATTAGGGCCCCAACGAGCAGGCTAGGATAATCACATTCACGCTGATCACCAGGTCATCATGGACTCCTACTATGTAGGCAGCGAGTGCGGTTTCGATGCTGATATTTGCGAAAGATGACAGCCGAAGCGGAAGTATCTAACGAAGAGCAGTCAACAAAATGCGGGAAACCCGGCGGGAGGCGCGCGCGGGAACGCGACAGCCAGTGCTGTCACGCCCGCAAAACGGAGGCCGATATGGAGTAAGGTCACTTTTCAAGTCCTCCTTCTCCAAGTCGTGCACGCATTTCTCCGAAAGTAGCCTCAAGCTGCAGCAGCAGAGGTTAGAAAAAGCAGGCTTTCCTGCTGACCTACTTCGCTCCACGCTTGAGAGGTTCATTATCAAACCACAACTTCCGCGAGTTGTTTCAAAAAAGAAAGGTCGTTTCGCTGTGATTCCCTACATGCACAACTCCGCGCACCGTTTAAGGTCCATCGCGTCCAAATTCGACACGAGTGTGGTTTTTTCTTGTCGTATGCGCCTCAAACAGATGTGCAAAAAGGTTAATGGGAGCGACAGTCCCCGAGGGTGCAATGTTAAACATGCCAAAAAGTTCGTGGAATGCGAAGAAAGGAAGGTTTATTCGATTCCACTAAGCTGTGGCAGTCAGTACATTGGATCGACTGGGAGATGCGTCAACCACCGACTCAGAGAACATAACTTGGAAGCATCAAAGGCTTCAACTGAGTCGCATCACCCCATTGTCGTTCACAACCGCACATGCGATGACTGTACTCCTCATTTTTCTGATACTAAAATACTGGGCGGGCACAACAAAAGATTTGGGAGAGAAATCATCGAACCATTTGCCATGGGGACTGTTAACAACACCATTTCTGCACCTTCATTATCATTGACAAAGACAGAGGTCGAATTCTTAACACCAGAGATGACTAGAATATTGACACCTCGTCGTGACGCTACAGCTTTTTAAACTCTTATATTTATAGTACAATTCCCTTTTTGGACTGCAAACAAGAATAATTCTGCATTATCACTGACAATGACCAAGGTTAATTCTAAGTAATCGAAAATAACTAGATTACTGATGCGCTTTTCAAACTTTTCTTTTACTGTATTCCCTTTCCTTTATAACTAGTATCTCCTTTCCCTCTTTGAGAACGTTGAGACCCTTGGGGGGCGGTTTTATCTTTGTGCCTATCTATGTTGTTGCTAAATGAAAGATGTCCTGGTCCCGTCCTCATCCTCTCTGTTTTATACTTTCAAGTTTTGTATCTATTAACCAACACGCTCGTTTTCAATTGTAAATGACGCAGTGCAGAAAAGTAAATTTGGGGAACGCTTAAGCTTCGCCTTTACAAGTGGAACGCGATAATGATATCGGGTCCCGTTCCCAGTCTTCTGATGTAAACGCGTGCTCGTTGCCAAGCCGTGCAAGAGTGTGCGCTTGGTCTAGTCCGTAGCGTCACGTCTGATGTGACGTAACACGTGGTTGTGACATCATGACCCTATCGACCAGCTAAATTTGGGAGAAAACAGGTTCGCTAAATATGGCGGGAAAATTTTCGGCTGGATGTGGCGGGAAAATGTTCCGCTAAATTTGGCGGAAAAATTTCCCCTTAAATGTGGCGGCAGAATTTGTCGCCAAATTTGGCGGGAAAAGATTCCCCTAACTTTGGCGGGAAAACGTTCCCGCCAACTTTAGTGGGTAAATCCCATAATGCAACGCGCGCAATCACGAGCGACGTCGTCTGTGAAACACGTTGCTGCGCGCGTTGCATTATGGGATTTTTCTGTCCCACCGACGGCAACACAAACACCGACGCCGTGTTTTCTGCGACACGCGCTCCTAAACGCTATCGCGGTAAAGGTGTTTTACTTGAGAGCGCTGTGTGCGGATGAATTATAAACAACCGAAAAGTAGTGCTCATCGCCCCTGCACAGGTTGCGGTTGAAGCGTTTTTTGGGGACGGTCTCACACGCATGCTTTATTAGTATAACAGTTCTCGGTAAAACTTTATTTTAATGCACAACCAAAATAACATTATCCTTCGATGCTTTAAACAAAGCAATGGCGAAACGTATCGGCCATTATATCAACCGACACTCTTGGCGACAAAGTATACCAAATGGGTTAAAAGCGCCAACACCACCATACGATGACAGATCATGAGTCTCCGGGTACAACGGACGAAGTGAGCGTGCCATTTATGGTGCCAACAACGCGCTCAGAGTCACAAAACATGCCCCTCCCCCGCAGATCACACGAAAAGTCTATGAGGGTCGACCGGCCTCTCGGCGCAGAAATCAAGTCTGGGTTGGGAAACTGCGAACGTCACGTTTCAAACTTCCTGTTGCGTCCAAACACGTGTATCATTTTTGGGAACGGTATAAGAGAAATTGTCGTCACAACCTCCTCTCTTAACCTTCACAGCCTCCCTCGTTACTTCCTGTCTTATATACATTCGCGAAGAGTTTCCTACAATCCCTCATAACTTCACCTTAGAAAAAAAGCTCCGTTTTTACTATATACACCCCCGTGTAACTTAACCCCTTTCCTTTTAGCCCGCTCCCTGGTACCGTCCCTTTGGGCCTAGGCCCTCGGTCACTGCGGCTAGCACTCGGACGTCTTCGTGGGCGCTGTTGGGAGACGGACGTGCGGAGCCGAAAGACGAGCCCGACCGGTCCGCTCAGTCCCCGTCCACGGAACCTCCCTTGCGGAAGTCGGCGTTGGCGTAGATGCGTCCTTCTCGGCGGCCGATGCCCATCATGATGGAGAACCTGCCCTTGGGCACGACCACCTTGTGCCCTTTCTTCTCCAGCAGCCGCCTGTACACCTGCACGCAGCCGGCACCAAAAGATCACTGAGAAGGGAATGAAAGCGCAGAAAGAACCTTTATTTTCATGTCATAAAGCTCTGTACTGCCGCCGTAAATCCTCGAAATATAGCGGCGGAATTCTTTTTTTTTTTTTTCTTTTTTTTAGAGCGCAGTTCTTAGTCGCCCGTGTACGGGTTGAGCGCCGTCGGCGTCGGCGTAACCGCGAGTTGCATTATGGGACATTATCTGTAATGGCGTCCCGTGTGACGCCACGAGGGTAACATTTTCCCCCTAAATTTAGCAGAAAAAATTCCCGCCAAGCTAAGCGAAAATTCTTCCCACCAAATTTAGCGGGAGTTATTTTTTTTCCTAGTGACCTCACACATGACGTCCCGCTAAATTTTGCGGAAAGTTTTCTGCTAAATTTAGCGGGGAAATTATCGTCACGTGACCTCAACACCGTTTCAGTTTCCCGCTAAATTTAGCGGAGCGGGGAAATGTTCGCTAGATATAGCGGGAAAATTTTCGCTTCATTTAGCGAAAATTTCTCGCTCAATGGGACGCGAGCGGGAGAGGAGGAGGGGGAGCAAATACATACCCTCCTTCCCTCCTCCTCCTCAAGAACTGCGCTCTAATTCGGCATTACAGAAAATTGTAAACGTCTTTCATTTTTTCATTTAATAATTTTGGTTAAGTTTCTTAATGCATTCAAGAAGCGCATTTCTCTTTCGCAGTTGGTGTATACGAGCCAACATTCGGGCGTTGGAAGATGACGGAACGACCAAAATATTCTTATTCTTCTTACCTTGGAAATTTCTTAATAATAAGTGTGGTCGTGTAGATATTTAGACAGCGAGCTAACTGATCAGCCATCTCAAAGTTGCGACGAGTCACTCGCTGTAGATGAGCAATTTAGCCAGCGCAGTACAACCGCTATCCTGGGACCTTTTTACATACTCCACAAAGTATCGTGATACGGGACCGCACGCCGGTACGATGCTCATCCAGATCGAAACTGGCAGGGGTAGGGATTGAACCCAGGATGCTGGGTTCTGCAGTGCGAGTTTTCGCTCCACGTGCTTGGAAATTACTTCGAACACTATATCAGCGTTTTATCCGCCAGATCGTCCAGGGCCAATTCCATCCGACCAGTCGAGCGATAAAGATATAAATGCGATATGTTTCTGAATATTCACTTTCCCTTAGGGCGATAGACAAGCCCGGAATTAACTTGAAAATGATGTACTAACGTTTTATTCGGTAGATAACTCTTGAGGGAAAGTGCGTCTGCACTCTCTTTGAGTGAATAATAGGATGGTGCCTTTTTTCTACAGAGGCTCGGATGATATCGATTTGCTTTCTGGATGGCTGGACCGATTAACCTAAGACCAACGACCGGGGTTAAGAATGACTGGCGGGCAGTACAAATATGGGAGCGCGCCAAGTGTGCAGAGAGTCTCTGGCAGACTTTTACGTAGTCCGTGTCAAGTGACGAATTACCTATGATTCTTTGCATCTAGAAGTAATTTTCTAACGGAATAGTTACATATTTGCTAAAGTAATTGTAAAGTCATTTTCTTACATATTTACGCAACAGCTTCGTTGTAAACCCTTGCAATCTTTTTCACAACACCCCCCCCCCCCCCCCAGCAAAAAAAAAAGAAAAAGTGTTATAATTTCGGTGAATTTTGGCGCCTTACGCTGTTTCCACTCTTCTTCGTCCCTGTCGCTTTGGGCGCTTTTATGTATTTGTCATTTTGGTAAAGTCGTCCGCAGTGACGCTGTCAGGAGCAATGGCAGCTCTAAAGGAGGCTTGGCACTCTTCAGTTCCACAAAGCCTTTCTTTAGAACGCCAAACCCCTGGATATTTTTTTGTCTAGATCCTGACAGCAAAGTCGGGATATTTAAATGTGCATATCTAAACAAAAATAGGAAGTACGAGCAAACTATTTTCGCCTTTTCTTTTTTTGCTATCGAAGGCGGGCAAGAGGAGGATAAGTGATCGGACTCTTCGAGAAGACCGAGGCAGTAAGTGTGTTTTGGAACTGCATCAAGAAAGGTACGTACCGCAAACGTGCGTTTACGTCGCCTTGTTTTAACCGACGTTCAAATTAATTGTTCTTAGAGTATTGTGGTGTTTTTATTTCTTTATTACTTATATAAACATCGAGAAAGTTTTATTTTTTTATTCACCAACGTCCCAACCGAGGCTCGACCTGTTCAGTGCCAAATAAAGCATATAGATCAAAACCGTAAGTGTCGTTTAATTTTCACGTGTAACTATACTCTGTCCAACCAACTTTGTTTGCTACCGTCTGGCAATATTTGCTGGTATAGTTAGATGTACAGAAATCAATTCTTATTCCTCGTTTAGCCAGTTGTATGACGGCTTCTACAGCTTCGCGATTCCAACAGTATCGGGCACTGGCAGCAACGACGAAGGTTCGTTCTTTTTTTCAGGGTAAGGAGCCGTTCCATCGATTCGCTGGAGAAGCGCAATGCAGTGATTCCAGCATTCGTAACGCATATTATGGTACTCTCATCCAGCGCCTCAGTTGAAAGGGTATTCAGTGTAGCGGTCGGCATTTTCACAAAAAAAAAAAAAAGAGGCAAGATGTTTGCCGAGATTTCTGAGAGCCAGCTGTGGCCCAAAATACTCAAGGTCGATAATTGGGACTTGTGGCAACAATAAACACTAATAACCCTCTTCTTTTTGTTTTGTTAATTCAGGAGAGCAATCTTGAAAGTAACGCCACAATAGTAACGGACTAGTTACTGGAGTAAAGGTCACTTACTTTCCTAGAAGTCTAATTGTAATTGCAATAATTACAATTCAGTCTCGAGTAATTTCCAATGTAATTCTTTACGTTTTTTTTAGTAAGGTGTACAAGCGTGCTCCCCCGCGAGCCACGTGCCTTCAGGCTCTGAACATCTCGTCTCCGCAGCCGCCCAACCGTCCTGAAGTGCGGGAGGATGGGTCCAAGAAGGACAGCACTGCTTCCCGGCGGCAGAGCTCACCTGTGGGAAGTTCGCCTCGACGTCCACTTGATTGGGCAGAAGCTGGTGGTGCACCCTGGGGAAGTCAATCGCCTCCTTGATGTTGTTTCCTTGCCACAGATATCGCATGCTCACCTGAAATAGTCAAAGTCCAATCTTTGCGAACGAGTGCTAAATATAATTATTTCAATTTGAGAAGAAAAAAAATCAAGAATACTAAGCACGAACGCGGACAACCACTTTATATAAATAAATATGTAATTACCTTCCGTTTTTTTTTTCTTCAGATATTAGTAAGAGATAAAGTGGACGCATTTTTGTCAAGGTAAAGAACACGAGTTTACCAAAAGAAGAACTCATCAGAACGCTTAGCAGTCAGCTTTGTTCTCGACAAGTTACACTGTCTGGAGTACCTGAAAGCTTACTGGCTAGCAATGCTCTTGGAAGGCCCTGGTTTGAGCTTAGCTATAGGTCGTTCTTTGTGTGACGGTTGCCATGTTGAAATTTGACGTAGTTGGGGTTTTCGTGTAGGCGGCAGGTGCGCGCCACTAGATGAAGGACCAACAACAATACTAAGGAACATTTACAAAGATAATAATGTGATTATAACATGGGAAGGAAAGGCAACGGGTAAAATAGAGATAAGACGAGGCCTTAGGCAGGGGTGCCCGTTATCGCCTTTGCTGTTTTTGTTGTATCTGAGAGAATTGGAGGATAGACAAGAGAAAAGTGGGCTTGGATTGGACCTTTCGTACAGTAAGCTAAACCAAAAAATTCAGCAATCCTTATCGGGATTGACGTATGCGGATGATATCGTACTAATGGCTAACAACAGGATAGATTTGCAGGAATCAATGAGCATCTGTGGTAGGGAAGGAGAGAAATTAGGTTTAGAATTCAGTAGTGAAAATCAGCAGTCATGTTTTTTAACAATGATGAAGTTGAGAGGCTGAAGATACAGAATATTACAGTTGAAAGAGCTAGTAAATACAAGTATCTAGGAGTATGGATATGTGATGGTGTAGAATATCTCAGTGAGCATGAAAAGTATATAATAGGTAAGGGCAACAGAAATGCAGCTGTAATGAAAAATAGAGTACTTTGGAATTACAACAGGTATGAGGTGGTGAGAGAGATTTGGGAAGGGGTCATGGTGCCTGGCTTGACTTTTGGAAACGCAGTGCTATGCATGAAATCCGAAGTGCATGCAAGACTAGAAATAAAACAGCGCAGAGTAGGTAGGCTGGCTTCACATTGCAAAACGCCAAACCAAGGAGTACAAGGAGACATGGGATGGGCGTCATTTGAGGGCAGGGAAGCCGTGAGCAAGATAAAATTTGAGGATCGGTTGAGGCAAATGGATGGGGAGCAATGGGCACGAAAGGTTTTCAGCTATTTATACTAGAGGAGTGTAGACACAAAAGGGAGACAGCGCACTAGGAAATTAAGAGGAACGTTTTTAGGTTATAGTGGAGTTACGGAAGAGCAGGTCTCAGTTAAGAAGATAGTTAAGGCCACAGAAAAAGATTGGTGGCTAGAGGGGATGCAGACAAAGACGGCTCTGGAGAGCTATAGATTAAACAAAACAGTTATTGCCAAAGGAAACATTTATGACAATTCTAGGGGAAGCTCATTGTTTTTAGAGGCGAGGACGGGTGTTCTGCGAACCAAAACATGCAGAGTGAAGTACCAGGAAATTAATACAGTGTGTACTGCTTGTGGAGAGGAGGACTAGACGGCTGAGCACATGATACTCTACTGTAAAGGGCTTCACCCTATGCCTACCGAAAACAACCTAGATTTAATAAAGTCATTGGGTTTTAAAGACAGCGAAGGAAGAGTGGATTTCAAGACAGTAGAGATTACCAAGCAAAGATTAAGTGAATGGTGGCAGAAAGGGAGAGAAAACTAAGTATGTTCTTATTAACTGATGACAAGGGGGTTTTATAGCCTCACTTTCTTTTCAGTGCGGAGTGAATATAGTTTTTGCATTTAAATATTCTAAGCTTAAATTGTAAAACAAAATGGCTAGGTGGCGTAAGCTACCGCCCGATCCAAAGGGCTCAGCCGGACTCATCCATACATTCAAACATGAGTTGGTCTATACGTGCTCGCGGAGAAGAGCAGGAAAAAAAGTGTGTCCAACATTGCAGCGGGTATGAATGCGATTGAAGACGCAGGCCCAGGTGTATATGTGAGTGACGAGCAGTGGAACGTACGAGCGCGATTCCCGAGGTGATCTTGGCGCCCCCCGCGCCTCCGAGCACCAGCTGGACGTCCCCGTCTCGGCCGACGACCACGGCAGGCGCCATGGACGACATTGGCCGCTTTCCCGGGGCCGCGTAGTTGGCCTCCGAAGGAGCTACGCCGTACAGGTTTGAGGTTCCGGGGACGGAGAAGTCGTCCATCTCGTTGTTTAGCATCACGCCTCCGGACCTCACCATGCTACCAAAGCTGAAATTAAAAAAAAAAAAAATTGACGCTTGTGTTTAGTAGACGCCCTAAGGTCGATCTCCCTTTAACGACACTGGTTTACGCATGGCTTCCAACGCGGATGCACAACCAGTGACACGTCATATTCGCACGATTCGTGAACTCGCTTCTATTGTGGACAAGGTTGGCCAAGGTGCAATTCCTTTTTCCATTTTGCGAAGGTTTTTGATAGAGTATCGCGCTTCAAAATAACCTAGAAACTTGAACAGCTACTAAAACATGGTTGTCTTTGACAATGGATGGATTCTTACCTTACGAATCGTCGTCAGTGCGTTATTGTTGGCAATGTGAAATCTGTTAAATTACCCGTTACTTCAGGAGTACCCCAGGCTCGGTACCCGATTCTTTGCTTTTTTGGTGTATGTTAATAATCTCCGGGTTGACAAGCCCTCAGTACAGTGGGCATAAAGCATCCCAGCATACTTCTGGTGAGTGAAGGTATGTCACTTGAGTAAACGCTCGATTTTTAGGTTCGTAGGTAAACTTTTCTCCGCAACCGTTAAAAGGCCAGTGAGCTTTTCTCCGCATCGGACACTTTTGCGGTGAACTTTTGTCTGATAAGCTTATCTGCGGTGAGGTTTTCTCCCCCGTCCGACAAATACCGGCCCCTCCACCGGACAATCATTCAAATCATTCACTTGGTGGTATACCTCTGCACGGAAGGCGAACAACCCCAGTCGAAAACGAAATCAAAATAAATGACTGGTATCGGTTTAGTGGCACGAAATATGATCACAGCGAAGCATTACGTCAAAGTGAAGTCGCGTACTCCACTGAAACCTATTTTAAATATGCGACCAGCGGCTCTTTAGCGTGCGGCAAGCGGGTTAGTTTTTAGTCGAGAAACACTGGCGCAGCACTCTGGTGATGTCACATCGCTGAGGAGCTGCGGTTGATTGGTTGGCCAATCTGGCTTGTTCGGTAGGCCACACACTTTCGGTGTGCAGCCATCGAAGGAGAGCGAAAAGTCGTTGGTACAGCGTCGTTTAACCTTTCTATCTTTTGGAGCTCTTCGAGATGATCAACGAGCGAACGTTCGCATTTCATAGTTGGGTCGCGCAACAGGAACCGCGGCCGGAACGTTCCGATTATTAGAACTGCCTTACGTTGCTGCTGTACTTATTGAAGATGCCTCCCGCATGGGAAACGAAACGTTTAATTTTTATTTTATATTACGTCAAGTCGGTGTTTTTATTTTAATTATGACGTCTCCAGGCGTTTGGAGTATTTTTGCATCGATTGACGCGGGAGGAAATTAACATATCCAGTCCGTGCAATTACTTGGCGCGTCGTCTGCTCGAATCACACTCACTACGTCATTGGAGAGCGCCCGCGAAGTGGCGCCAACGAGACATCCCGTCGCCAATATATCGACGGGTCATTATGCCACTTGCCCTATTCATTGGTTCAAACGAACAAAGGCAGGTCAGCAATAGGTGTACCAAGGACATGGCGGGTAAGAACCCGTGCAGGAGCTTCGGAGAGTGTACGGCGTTCGAACCACGTACTAGAAGTTGACAGTGCTCGTGACCGCGACGGCATCTCCGTTGGGACTCAGGAAGGACGCGTGGGCGGTCCCGTGGTCCGGTTGGAACGGCTCTTCTCCGAAGTAATGGACCGCCTGGTCGAACGTCCTCGCATCGTCGATGAGCCACCTGGTGGCCAGGGCCTGCTCCACAGAAGTCAGGTTACCCACCAACTGCAGTTTGAGGGAAACATAGTATTAATAAGAAGTCAATCTAGTCTCCTATTTGTTCCGTCTAATGGCAGGTTCACACACTCGCAACTGCTTACGCTCAAGTGCCTTAAAACCTCTTGGAATCTCTTACGACGAGAGGATATACTGACGTCATCTATTGGGCAATCGTGGAACACTTGGCACTTCCGTATATTTTCTATTTTTGTCGCGCATCATTCTTTCCCTGTTGGCTCGCAAAACTTTTGACAATATTATAAACGACCACTTCTCATAGACATTTGATCTTATGAAAACCGGGAAACCTTAGCTCTAGTGAAATGCGGTGCCAGGGTCACCTCATCGACGGTGTCAGCGTGTGTGTGTTCAGTCGTCGTAAGAATTCACAAGAGCTCAGTCCTAAGATTTCTTGGTAATATTTGCTGGCCAATACAGGGGGAGCATAAAGTGTTTCCATGATTAAAAAAAACCTTACCTTAAATACGATGACTGATAGAAGCACGGAAGTTATGGCATCACGTAGGCCCACTCGTCAAATTTTATCGTTTGCTTTGTTTGTCATGCAACAGATAGCGCTGCGATCACCAGTTTCAGCATGGCGTGGATGAAGAAGAACCCGCAGTTTTGTGTGTGTTTTGAGGTACACCCGCCGGGGCGATATGAAGGTGAACGCCGGACCGTCGACCGGTTCGTGCTATCAGCGCCCTGGCGCGGCTGCCGTGACGGCTCGCTTTTTTATCGCGCGCTTCGCCGAGATTAAGCGCTTGGATCGAGCGTTGTTTTCAGATCTGCTGCTACTCCCTGCAGAAAGCGTGGAAGTGGGTTTCAATTTCGGCATCGCTTTTCGTGGGCGCCGTGCCCACGCTATTGCCGGCAAATGATTTGCACATTGCACGTGAACTAGGGTGAACGTTGTTCGGCATGGTTTTTCAGGGACTCAACCGCTTTCTTCGTTCATGAACGAACGATAATTACTGCGAACGGTAATAACTGTTCTTTTTATGAAGCGGAAAGTATAAGTTACTTTTTGATTTGTTCCGCAGTCTTCCGGTTTATTAGCACATATCATAACAAAAAAAAATTACTAAATGACATTGTCTACCGATAGCGTCTGAAAGGCTCTTTCCGCAATCCTCGCGCTTTCTGTGGGGAGTAGCAGCAGAGCTGAGAACAGCGCTCGATCCAAGCGCTTAATCTCGGCGAAGAGCGCGATAAGAAAGCGAGCCGTCACGGCAGCCGCGTCATGGTGCTGATAGCACGGAGCGGTCTACGGTCCGGCGTTCACCTTCATATCGCCAGCGGGTGTACGTGTGTGGTATTACGAAGATAAATCTCCAGTTACACTTTAACGACAGCTCAGAGATGCGTAAGGTCCATCATCCATGCTCATCTCAGACGTCGCACTTCGACTTGACTTTTGAAGAATGCACTGAAAAGCGCTCAACACAACTTTGAGAGGCTCTTCATGCACTTTAGGTCAAACTAAAGTCATCAGATCTTTGGAAAGTAGCGCCATTGGTTTGCCTGCCTTCAAGCAGGACACAAACAGGCACTAGCGTGCAGACGACCAAACCTTGAAAGGTGACTGGCTGATCGGTCTCAGTTGCCATGGCAATCGCCATTTTGGTACGTTCAAATATTCGGAGCTCCGAAAGGGTCGTTCTGAACCGGTCGCTCCAATATCGCTATTGAGCCTCATCGTACTCGATACGTTCTTATGCTTCGTTTCAGCTTCCGTCCGAGCGCAGCCAAAGGCTGAGGGACGGTTCGCAACTTCGAAAAGAGCATTCCTACGCACCACAAAGTAGTCCGCAAAAGTTTTTTTTTTATATATAACTGTTTTGTGAGTAAACAGTGCACAATATTCCAGATATCTACTGCTGAAAATTATTTGCAACTAAAGGAATTAAATATCTGAAGTTTATAATTTTATTAATATATGTAAATGCATGTGGTTTGGTTAAAGCACATACATCCGCTGGCAACACGGCTGTAGCGCTCAGTTTTTCTGTGTGATTTCGTTCCCGTAATATACCGTAATGGCCGAATAATGTGCTTCGCTGCTTTCCTCACCGAGTCGCTTCAAAACGTCCTTTCGCAAAGGTACATTTGGGCGTCAGGCGCGAGAGCTCGAGATGAATGTCTGCTTTTAAATTCGGCAGGAGACTCCGGCCGCATCGTACCGCGAATGCGTTGTAAACAAGAAAAGCGTCCGGGCCACTGCGAGTCACTGATACGCGGCGAACTCAGGGCACCCTTTTACCTGCCGATCACATTGAACGCCGAGAAGCTGGTAAAGTGAAAAGGACTGCGCCTCGAGCCCTGGTACATCCAGACAATACAAGGAAACACCAACGGCCGGGTCATCGGGCACCTTGCAACCTGTACTTACATCTCGAAACAATGCCGAACAGGTGGAAAGCTCGGACACAGACGGCAGCGGCCAGCCTACGTACTGGCATCCCCTGTGACTAAATTTCAGAACGTGAAAGGGAATTTTTTAAACCTGTAGCAGACGATACCACCCGTAGCAGACGAAATACTCGGCGAGCGCGGGCGGCGCGGACGACCAGCGGCGCAGCGGAGTGATACAAAGGTGCAGGCGAGATCGCTTGACCTATTGCCGGCGTCTGATTGGCTCCGGCCACGCGTAGCTTTGGCTGCGCTCGGACGGAAGCTGAAACGAAGTATAGTCAATATACGCATTTTATCACTGTGCATGCAATCCAGTTATCAATCCTGCTAATAACCACAGATTTATTACAGTGATATCGTTTTTCTTGCGTAGTGCGAGACAGGGAAGTTATTTTTCAAAGCCGCCACGCACCGACGCCGCTTGTGGTGGCGGTGCGACGATGGGCGCTTGTTTCGCCGGTGAGTGCATACCAGAATCGCGGTATTCTAGAAATGCCTTTATAAAGAAACCTATCACGGAGAGTTTGGATCGTCTCACCAGAATGGAGAGATATCACGCAGAAACTGCTCATTCCATGAACCAAAATGGCGACCGCACGGAATGCTTGGCCGTGCTATTTTTTTTTTCTTGTATTTTCCCAGGATCTAGAGCAGGGGTGGCCAGGCTGACCCGGCCTAAGAGCCGCAAACAAAACCACGAAACTTCCAAGAGTCGCGGGGGGGGGGGGGGGGGGGGGGGGTTTGTTTGGAGCAATAAACGAAACTCGAATTACTTTCAATCTATCTGAGTCAAAAGCAGTCCCAGTGTACGTCAAAAGCAGTCCAACCGTAACCTGTCTTTCGATTTAAAACGCGTTCCATTTCTCTTTTTGGGAAAGTGGTCGTGTGGCCGGGAGGGAGCAACACCTCCTAGAGTGGAGGGAGGTGGAGGAGGAAGTAGGGAAGGGGGAAGGGAGAGGAAAGGGAGCCGCGAGCCGCACTTTAACACGCGAAGAGCCGCATGCGGCTCGCGAGCCGCAGCTTGGCCACCCCTAATCTAGTGAATTTAGGCCAAAACAGTTTTGTGCATGCCACGAACGCTGTCAGTCTCTTTGCATACCACGCTTTGACGCGTCGAACATCTGGCGGATCTAGTCCATACTCATTTCTCAACTGTCTTTGAACTGTAACCGGCAGTCTACTTTTGCGATACCACAAAACACGCAGCGCTTTCTTCTTCGTTGATGCCATGCGGAAACAGGCAATCGCTGCCCCGCCTGTAACGAAACAAAAGGCTCGGTAAGTCGTCCTACATAGCGCCATCACTTCCCTGTTGCTATTCGTCACATATTTATTTTAACGATAAGTTAAGATAAGACGGAAGCCATAAAAAAGTGATAGGGAACGCGGTCACACTTGCTCATTGGTGCCCTCGCAGGGTCTACCGCGCGAGGCTAGTAACCGCGGTAGTTGTTTCTACCGCACTTCGGTAGCTTGTAGTTCCCGTGGTAGCCCCCAGAGAGCGTCACTATTAGATAGATAGCATTGTCGAACTTCAACAGGCATGAAGTGCTAATGAAAACTCAAAAAGGAGCTCGGGTTTGCTTTTGGAAACGCGGGTGTGCTCATTAAACCGAACGTCCAAGCGATGCAACGCGGTAAGGGAATCTATAGCTCTGAGAGCACGTGGTAAAACACCGAATCAATAAGTATAACGCGATATGGGATAGTCCTCGTTCATAGACTGGAAGGTTATATACTCCGTCTCATCGTACGATGAATTAAAGCCCAATGCCACAGGCCACCGGGTCCAATCACGAGCCTGTTAGAAACGACGTGGTATATTTGCTCTGTCGTACGTATGAGTGCGCCAAGACGCGTCATGCGGAGGCGAGTTTTTCGTCTACTTATCTAGCTCTCCCGGCGTCTCCGTCTGATTGCTGATGGGTTTTTGCTCAACTTACACCCGTGTTCCCAGTTCCTTGTCCCAGAACGAATGGTTACGACATTCAAGGAATCTCGACCGCTGACCCATCTGCGTGTGCTTTCTTTGTATTGCCGTCAGCCACGTGCGCGCCCCGGTTGCCGCTAGAATTAGATTGTTATGGCTAAGGCGCACGAAACAACTTTATGTCAGTGTTGCCTGCGCGCCCTTCAGCTTCTCCAAGCAGGCGACATGTTTACAAAATGTGGCACGAATATTTATGACACTAAATACCAAGTACCTTTATCGCACCAATATAAAATAGCCCGCTATCACAACAGAGAACCGTATGCTTAAGATTAGTGCTCTTCGTGCTCTGCGTATCGGAATTTCTCTCGCACACTATTTTGCAATGCGGATGGAAAATTTTCTGAGGTAGTACTCCACTCGCCAGCTTTCGGACCATAGTTCAAGGTAGGGTGAGACGGAGTATAGTAGGGAGATAAACGTAGAAGATAAGACTCCAAGAACTAGATGAGTGACGATGAACACGAACAGTCTTTGTAAGTATTTGTACAAGAGGACACTCAACACAAGATGAAAAAGCCAGACCAGTTAAAAAAAATATTGGCGATTGACCCCAGCCAAGTCTTCCCAGGGAAGGAAGGAACGACGTAAACAGATGGTGTTTGTGTGTGTGTGTGGGGGGGGGGGGGGGGGGGGAAGCTATATATTTATATATATATATATATATATATATATTTTTTTTTTTTTTTTTTTTTTTGTGGCAGGAGCGACGCAGATTACTTGATACTCTTTAAGAAGATGGCTAAAGCAGTAGAAAAAAATGTCATGCGGTTATGCGAACTAAATCGTTTTTGGCTAGATTCGGATCTTTTAAGGGGAATATCGCCATAGCAAGGAGGGGACATTGCTCGTTGTTTGAGGCCGGGATGTTGGTGTTGCGAACTAAGATCTACACAATTAACTAACAAAATGTGGATACTGGCTGTGGAGTATCCACAGGCAGTATCTTAGAGATTAGAAGGAAACTACTGAACTCTTTATATTACATAGTGGAGAATTTTATCTGAAGTTGACGAAGGCAGAACTGATTTAGTCAAGGCATATTATAATTTTAAGCAGTATATAAAGGCCTTAATCTTTTTTTGTGTATTGGGTAATATTTTTAAGCTTTTGGAATTGAAAACATTTGCTAGATGACGCAAGCTGCCACACGATTTAAAGGGTTCAGTCGTATTCGTCCACTGATCCGTTCATCTCGACAATGGGGGTAGGAAGAGGAGGAGCGACGCTGAAGCCAGCTCAACGAGAACATCTCAAGTGAAGCCGAAAGTAGAGGACGCGGTCGGTGTCCCCAAGGGGGACCGAAACCCAGCCAGTACCGCTGTTGGCGCTCCGTGGCGCAAAATCAGCGGTCTTTTCCGTCCAATGGCGACTTCTGAATTCGGTCATCGTTGGGGAAGTGTCCCTCCAAACCGGAAGTCTCCCCCGGCTTCACTTCTGGTCATGTTGCCTTAGAAAGCTTCCTACCTCCACAATCTCGACAAAGGAGGGTCGGTCAGGGAGCATTTGCGAAGGTTTGTCGCCACTATAGCCCGTTCAGCCCTAAGCTGAGACTGCGGTGGCAGCCATGTGCCCCCCGAACCAATCAGCCGCCTCCCTGCCATCAGCTGAGCCGGCTCTCTGCGCGTGGGAGAGACCTTGAACTGGTCCAATGAGGGCCTGCTTCTACCGCCGTCTCAGCTGAGGGCTGAACGGAGTTCGCTCGCCAAATTGGGCCAATGTTGGATTCTGGGGCTCATTTAACCTTCAAAACACGCTAAGAAAATTTTAAAAAGCAATGCCGAAAACAAGTTTATTTCGAGAAAAAAAAATCGAAGCCAAAGCTATAGACTCCCGTGCGCACAACCACCTTGAGCACCGATCGAAACTGGGCGCGTGCGTTCCTCGCTACTTTTGAGAGGCTACTGTTTCCTCGAGTATGAGTACCTTCGCGTTCCAGCTAGGCGAAATGAAACTTGAAACGCACCTGACCTAGTTCCACAAACTTGGGGTCTCCCAAGAGGGCCCTCTGTGCGTAGGCGAACTTACAGGCCTCCAGGAATCTGGGCAGGGAAACATTCGGCATCGTAGAAAAGGGCAACGCGGCAGACTGTGGTACGCGTTAAGGCTGCTTCACATACCACCACTGCTTACGACCCTGAGCCTCAAAACATTATAATATCTCTTGCGGCGAGAGAACACACTGGCGCCATCTATCGGGTGGAACACCTGTACTTTACCTATATTTTTTTTTTTTCTTTTATCTACGGAATACCTACAGCGCTTCGAGGGCATCATCAGGGGAAGAAAGTAACAAACACGAAAAACGCAAAATGGTCACTTGTCCGCACAATTAGTTATATAGCCGAGAAAAAAAAATACTCTATCGTCCAAGGTGCTTACCCCTTCCTCTGGCAGAGTCGTATGCGTCAGTTTTCGTCCCGTTTTCGTGTTTCTTCTTTCCGGTTGTTTAAGTATATTTCCAAACACGCTCGTTTTTAATGTCAATTCTACTCTCTTTTTGCACTTAGAAAGAAAAGGAATTACAGAAACTGCTTGTTTTACAGGGATATTCAAAAACCTTTCAAGAGTTGCCACATCTTGCTGAAACGTAGGTTGGCCTCAAAAGATATTCACTATACTGTACTGTACTTACTATAACCATAATGTACTTTATAATCGCATTTATCATAACGATAGAGTAACAATATAGTTATAAGATATGTGAGGAAAAAATTTGTTTTAATTTTTGCCTTCGAAAGTTTGCCTTCGAAAATTTGATTTTAATTAATTTTGTTTTAATTTTTGCCTTCAAAAATAATAAGACATTTCGACCTGGAATATGCGAGGAAATATTGATGAGGCAATACAAGAATGTGTGGCAATCCCCCACTTATCGTGAACACCTTCCAGCGGCGTGGAGAGATCAAAACGATGTTTTAACGCTTACCAAAAGTGACGAGGATGGCTGCGCCCTTCTGGGAAAAGTGTGTAGACGACCATTTCTCATATAAAGTGCGTACATTTGATTTTACGATTACAGCAAAATTTTCGCTCTAGCGAAACGCAGTTCCCCGGTCACCTTATAGTTGACGCCAGCTTGCCAGTGAGTTCTCTCGTCGCAAGAGATTGTAAGAACTCGGTCCTAAGCAAACGCTAGTCTGTCAACGGGCCTTCACCTGTGCAAGGTGAGGACATCGTCTGCGAGTCTCTCCTTGGCGTCGGTCCTGAAGGCGTCCATGATGCCCATGATGTAGCCGAGGACAGGACCGCTGCCCGGCGGTGGTACGGAGTACAGGGTGAGGTTGTCTTTGAAGCTTACGTTCACGGGGACGTGCCACTCTGCCTGATAGGACGCCAGGTCTTCGAGGGTCATGTTACCCCCTGCATCAGAAACGTGTTTTTACCACCGAGGCCATCTGCCAATGGGGTGAAATCTCCAGACGCTGGTTAGAGGGGCATTCAAGTGGATTCGGAGACCGTCTATCTATTGTCATAACTCAATCTACGGGCTCTAAGCATCCCAAGAAACCCAAATTACATTCAAGAGCGGCCGATTTTCTTATTAAAAATCCAATTAAAGATCGTGCCACGCCCCCCCCCCTCCCCTTTTTTCCACGCCTAGGCGCAGAAAGTGGGGCGTGGCTGATCTTTTTACTGGATAGTTAATAGGAATATCGGCCGCCCTTGAATGTAATTTTGATTTTTAAAAGATGCTTAGAGCCTGCAGATTGAGACACAATTTAGGGAAGGGGGGAGCACTAGTCTCCACTAGGGGGGGCTGGATGGCGCATTGAGAAAACAAATATGAAGCCACCGGAAGTAAGCGGCTTGTCCCGGAAGTGAGCTCTTGGCAGGCTTTGTAACCCTTCCGAGTGATGGTTCGAAAGGTGTCGAGGGCGCTAGATTTTCGCTTGTTCCCCCAGAAGAGCCTGCTTGTTAGGCAGTGAGAGCGCATGCAAACCCGAGAAGTATCATGGGAAGCCATTCAATGTAAACATTTTGAGATTCTAGTTGATCGAGTGTGAATATCTCAAGTTCAAATGCTTCATTCCCGGGATTTCATCCAGAACGGGAGTATTAAAACCCAATGAAAGACACAAAAAAGCATGGTCCAAAACATCTACTGTAAGCACTAGGAAGCCCAGCGTACGCCCGACTTCCGGGACAAGCATCGAACTTCCGGTGGCTTCACTTCTGCCAGGCTCGGAGAGCAGCTAAGCGCCATCCAGCCCCCTATAGTAGAGATCAGTGGGGGGGGGGGGGAGAGTGGGGGGGAGAGGGGGGGGGGAGAGGGTAGCCCTACTCCCCGCCCGGTGCTTACAAAACTAAAAAGTACCTATCCTCGGCTCACATGAGTTGGAGAGATGATTGGCAAGTGAAATGTTGGTTGTAAACTTGATCTCCGGTCAATAGTAGTATTTCAATCGACATTATTGTTTTATGTTCCAGAAAGAAACAATCTCGATAGAGTCATTTTCAAAAATATCTCGAGATTGACTTTCTGCTTCGGTTTCAAAAGATAACAAAGATTGCTGCCGGCGTCTGTGGAGTGATCAACCAGCGCAGCTCGTCGAGCTCGTCTGTTTTTATGGGGCGAGTCGTTCTGCGTTCCCCGAGGTGTTTAGAGAAAGATCTCCTCAACCGACCTAGTTTGCAGAAAACAACTGCCGCAAACACGCGCCTTCGGAAGCGCCGTTGCCGCTGTCCGGGTGCTTGGGCTCGTAGCGGGACTGGCCGAAGCCTAGCGTCCCACTTCAACGGGTATGTTGGTTCATCTGGCCTGATTTGTACCTTTGCGCGTGTTGCTGCCGAATAAAGATATTGGTCCCCTTAAAGAAAGGCTTCGCTGCTCTGCAAATTGTGCGACCGTTGTGATTGCAACCATTGTTTCAATCCCGAGAAGATATCGAGAGGTAAGAATTGGTGAGCGATTTGGTTGGAGGCAATCGGGCGTTCGGCTCGCATCTAACTTCTTCAGGTTTGTTCCCGTCATTTCGGTTCGAAAGGAAAGTAGCAAGTTTTGCAGTGCACCTGGCTTGCCAAACCGAATATTTTTAGGTCACGTTTTAAATGTGCGTCATGACGCTCACTCACCTTGCTCGCGGATGCCTTGCGAAAAAATTAACAAGAACAGAAAAGCTGGAAGGACTAAATATTTATTTTGTTGATTTTTTCAGACCTTTCAGCCGGTTTTAGCGCACATCTGCAGACGCTGGCAGACGCTTGTATTGAACCGTGGCTTGTGCATAATGGAACGCTAGAACGCCGTTTTTATGGTCGGGACTAGCAAGCGTTGCACAATGTTTTCGACTGGGGCGGAATAGCAGACAAACGAAGGCGAAAACGGACGCCGACGCGGAGCTTTCATGTCCGCGTCTGGGCGTTGCAGACGACGATAAACGGTGGTGGAATAGCAGACGACACCAGAGGCTCTCGTGCGTCTGCTCGCACCACTAGACGCGGTGTCAGACTTCAAGACTAGACGCACCGGATGTTGGGAGAATGGAGACAATAGGCTCCTGAGCATGTTCGGCCGAGCAGCCAAGCCAATGCAGTAGGAATGGGCGGGGCCACTGATCTATGGGCGGGGCTTAGAACAGGTCGTGACCTCCACCTACATTGCGTCTAATGGCCGTAAATATCACCCCTCCCCTCAAAAAAAAATTTTTTTTCGTGGAGAAAGTATGAAAAGAATAAGTCTCCCAGATATGCACTTTAAAAAAACTTTTTTTTTTAATTTAGTTTCTTTTTATTAGGCGGATCGTTCGACATGTATCAGTAACTGGACACCATTCCTGGGCACTTTGTTCACAGCGCATGGCCAGAGCGAGTGGTATGAACGGAAGGGCTTTCCCTGTGAGCACACACTCCTTGAGAAAAGATTCCAGAACGTCATTGCTAGTCGCAGCGCCGCCTAGCTTGCGTCAGCAACGTCACTAGCGCGTTTTGCAGCGTCTCACAACGAGCACGAAGCTAAACTCCGTTCACCCTTAAGGGCCATTCACACATTTGCGTTGAGTACGACCGAGTGCGAGGGTTGCTATGGCAACAGCTGCGTCGGCTCCAACGAAGCCGGTTTCGACCGTTTTGTTGGAGCCAACGCAGCTGTTGCCATGGCAACCGTAGCGCTTAGTCGGACTCAACGCAAGTGCGTGAATCGCTCTTTGAGCTGAAACTGAGGGAAGAGCAACGTGCCGCCGGACCAATCAGCCGCCTCTGGCGTCGTCTGCTATTAAACCACCGTCCATCGTCGTCTGCAATGCCCAGACGCGAACATGAAAGCTCCGCGTCGGCGTCCGTTTTCGCCTTCGTACGTCTGCTATTCCGCCCCAGTCGAAAGGGCGGGAGCGTGATGAGGTGGCGAAAGAGAAGCGCATGACTGGTCCAATGAGGACGTAGCTCCCACCGCAGTCTCAGCTTAGGGGCGGCGCCAAGACGGATGCGTCTCCCGCTTTGAGGTGACCCTCGTCGAGCTTCCGCGTGTTTGCCGCTAGGAGTCGGGTCGGGGATCCACTAGCGATGACGTCATGCGCAGGTATTCTAGATGGTATTGATTCAGCTACGGCCGCAAAGGACGTGAGCACACCGTATCTACGCAAGTGTACCATGCGTTTTTGTCCGCAAGTTTTATTTTGCTTATTTGTGAAAGAACGGTGATCACAGAGAAAAGCTCATCTTAGTCTCCTTCAGGGCGCTTTACCTGCCGAGTGGTTCCAGAACTACCGCAAGAAAGGAAAAATATTTAAAAATGCAGAGTACTTTGTAATTACTCGATCATGACACAAATGATTAGACGCACTGCAATTAGAACAATTTCATCAAAATACAACGAAGAGTTAAGACTGAAGAAAACTCTACCAAAGATTTGTTTGGTCCGTCGTTCATGTTTCATTCTTTCTAGTATTTAACTTTATCACCAAAGCGCTCAACAAAAGTATATATATTTCTCTCTTTCTCAGTATTGTAACGATCCCGAGCATTGCGTGATACTTGGGTAATTCTGGAACCAAATCTCTCGCCGATCGGGAAGGAGATCCAACCATCGCACCCCCAGTGGCTAAATTAAGAACTACACCGATAGGGACATAGCCTCCAAGATTTTTGGACGTTTCGTTCACCGGAAAAACTAAAAACACTGGTGACCGCGCGCGTTGCGCCGCCGTGTGGCAAAAATAGCAGCGAGCTACTGGCTTGCTTGGGCTTGGACCTGATGGCACGTTAGTAGTAGTATGGCACGCGGCGAGTAGTAGTCTACGGGATAGGGTAGGCTTAAGCCTTTCGTTCATCTGGAGAGCGCTCTTTTGCCGTTACACGAAAAAATAGCTTGCTGATATTTATAACGAGCAAGTTCAATGAAAAGCTGTATGCGAGTCCTTCTGACCTAAGCACTATCCGCGGAAAGAAAATTTACTGATTTGCATAATCTTGCAGGCTGAGGTCTCGTCTCAAAGGCCATAATGTGGACAACAGCAACATAGATGATGTGTTTGTGTTTTGACGCAGTGCTCGGCCCACGCAGCCGAACCTTAATCACGTCATCGTTCGGCACGTGTTCACAGTGAAGCCGAACGTGGAAGCAGCACTCGTGAATTTTTTACTAAATCTCTCTCGTCTGAGCGTGGGGAATACAATGGGCACGAGCCGTGCCTAATCTTCGCCCCTCGCTCAATCGAGAAAGATCAAGAATCCAGCGCACATTGCCCGTGTTGGTGTACACAAAACTCTGGGGAAAACAAGCTGGACATGTCGCCCCCTATAATTTGATCTCCTCGCCAATAGCTGCATCGTAATGTGCTCGGGTTGTTGGCTCATTTCAGATCAGACAAAACCAGTTCAATGAGCAGGTTCGCCGTATTTTCTCGAGTAGTAAAGAAACCCGCGAAACTGACGGGAAGGCACACGCGGATCTATGTTCAGTCAGACAACGCGAAGAGCCAATCACAGATGCGATCGGATTCCTAACCAAAGACATTGCCAAGAAAAAGCTAAACGAGTACAGGTTCACTGCGTTCGTGAGAGCATGATTCAAACATCCAGTTACCAAATATCTTCGACAAATTTCATATCTTTGTAACTCGGTCGACATGCTTTCCCGACCCACAGAAGCAGTTCGTTTTGCTAGAAGACCTATCGCGACGGCTTCTGCGGTTATTTCGCACGAAATCCACAAGTTGGTAACAACGTCACTAGGGAGTTCGAATAACGCTCCGTGGAGTTCGTCGTCGATTGTTGCCTATTCCTCGAACCCGAAGAGACCTAGTGGACACTCTCTGGACGGTTACTTTTACCATTTGCGTTTACCTCCCGCACCAGCTGCGCAGCGAAGGACCCCTCGTAAAAGTAGTCCGGCCCGTGCTTGGCAACGAGCTCCAGGGTAGCGGCCAGGTCTGGTTGCACCACAAGGTCTCCTTCCTTAAGCGTGTCGTTGGCAGCGGTGTTCCAGAAGATCTTCCTACGGCGCAAAACAATAATCATATTGTGCTTAGACAGGCGGAAGGTAGTCATCCTCAGTGGGCGTCTGGTGCCTCAGCTGCAGATAAAAGCCAGTGCAGTACCACTGCTAGCCTGTGGTTTTAAAGGTGCACTGCGCGCGTTTTTAGTGATACACGTCCGCACGCCGCTACGATGCTCACCCAAGTCGATACGGGCAGGAGTGGAGATTGAGCCCAGCGTCTATGGGTTCTTCAGCGCGAGCTTTCCCTTGAGCGCTCTGAGCTGCAGTGCGCTAACAGACTAGACGATCGATCCCCTTTCATACGGCACACAGTTAAGTTCCGTTACAAGAAAGTAAAAAAAAAAATAAAAAACCCAAATATCCACACTTTAATGGAGAGGTTTGATAAATTCTGCAGGGACCTTTAGTAGCTCACGAATAAACCGCGCAAGACCCGAAAGTTTAAGATCGACGATTTCGCCTAATCAAAAGATAAAAACAATTTATTGAAGATCTAGGTAAAGTGCAAATCTTCATACTCGATAGCATGTTGTCGCAGGCGTAGGCCGCTACCTGACAGCGCGACTCGCAGAGTCATGGGCGGAATTGTAAACCGACCTTAAAAAAAGAGATTGCGCGCGAAGCATATAACGTATTTAATAAAACAAACTGCCGGTTTCACTTCTGCTTTTCACTTGAGAGACCGCGATCCCGAGCTGATCGGTCACCCGCTAACCGCCGCAAGGATTAGCTCAACTGTGATCGAGTGCAGCCAGTTTTTGTACTCCGATTCATATTAGAGAGTTTTAGAGAACCGTTTTTGCACATCCGATACGGTACGATGGGCCCTCCGGTGCGAACTGCTACTATGCTACAGCAGAAGACTCGCGCATGCGCTGTTCGTACCGGAGGGCCCATCGTTACCGTATGGGATGTGCAAAAACGGTTCCCTAAAACTCTCTAATAGGTCCGACGGCAGCCACCGCTACGATCGGAAATGGTCAGTCAAGCACCGCCTATAGTGCATCGCCGTCCCTGTTCGTCTGCTATCAGCGGACCAGCCGCGCGTAGGGTACATGTCGTGATCCTTTTCTGTGCGGGGTTGGTTGAGCCTGTGATGCCAATCGCGCGAAGGCGGCGACCGCCATGACGATGCACTTTTGGGCGATGCTCGATCGCATCGATCGCATCGTAGGTCTGGCTCATTTCATGCGAAACATGGCTCGCACCTACGTCACACGGTGCACCAGCAACCGCCGTTTGAGACGTGTTATTTATATTTTTGTTGAATCGCAGGGTAGCGGAGTGGTGGGAAGCACGGGGCTAGTTAACATGGAGGTTCGGGCGAGTTGGTTGTTCATGACTGACAAGGAAACAGCGCACCCACAAAACAAGCACTCTAAGCTTTCATGCACACAAAAGAAAGAGCCACTTACACGGCGCTGACTGACAACTCTACGTTATATTCACAATTTTCGTTTTCGTCTTTCTTTGGGACTAGGGTTTCTATGGCAAAAAGTTGCCCTTTTCTTCTTCCTTCTTTTTCCTGTGTTTTTTTTTTTTTTGTAATAGGAAGCTAAACTATAAGATTATTGTATGGCTAAGTACTCAGTTCTTTGTTGGATAACATTATGGAAGGAGTGCTGACACATCTCTCCTTTTGCCTTGCAATGTTCTCTGCTTCCATGATTTCTCTTGTCAGCTTGTCGTAGTTCCTGCCTAACACTGTGCATTTCTCCAGCTGCGCTGTGCAGCCACAGTCTCGGCAGTGAATTCCCAGGTGTCCGCAGTTTTTGTTGGTGATAGTGCAGTTGTGCTCACGAAGGCGATCATTGACGCACCGTCCGGTCTGTCCTATGTATTGTCGTCCACAGGATAGAGGGAAGGAGTAGACCACCTTTTCGGTACACTGTACGAAGCTGTTTTTATATTTCTTCGTGCTCTTGACTGTGGTTCTTGTGGGCGTGTTTACTCTCTTGCACAGGCTATGAAGTTTGTTAGGGGCTGAGAAGACGATGTCCAGGTTAACGCTATTAGCTATTTTCTTTAGACCGTGGGAAAATTTGTTAATATATGGCACAATTATCGGATTTTTGGCCCTGTCTCTGTCTTTTTTGTTTAATGTGGTCCCCTTGCTTGATGTCTTTGATGAGTCGTTCGGCCACTGATGTTAGTAAGGAGGTTAGATATCCTGCGCATTTAAATCGAGAGACTTGCCCGTTGAAGCTTGTTTGCATGGAATGGCAGCATGATTTTGTAAGTGCGTTGTTGAGACTTAACCGCACGATGCTCCGCTTAACAAGTTTCGAGTGCGCCGAGTTGAAAGGTAGACGCGGCTTCTTCCCTCTGGGCTCATAGGACCAGCATACATGATAAGGTAAAATAAAAAGTCGCAGATCCAGGAATCTTAACGATTAGTCAACTGGAAGTTCGTGCATAATGTTTAAAGGGTTCATGCAGCCTTTAAAGCTGTCTAGAACTTCAGCAACCATGGTTGCCGAAGGGGGACGTGGCAAAAGTCTGTGGCCTTATATTTACAAGAAAGACTGAATATGCTCACCGTTGACGATCCGTACCTGATCAGAAGTTCCTACGACGTCTTCACCTTCTTCCATGAGCATCAGGGCCGGAAAAATCTACAAGTGTTCTCCATCGATATTAAGGACCTCTACTATGCCCTGCCCCAAGACCGTCGCCTACAGTGCATTGAGGAGCGCATAGACACCAATGGCACTATTTCATTCCAGAATGCATCAGGAATATCCCAAGGAGAATTTTTGAACCTGATTAACCTCTATCTCAAATCCACGTTCGCTACTTGGGATGGTCATACATACCTAGAGAAGCAGGGAGTCTGCATATGATCATGCATCGCCCCTGTCCTTAGCGACCTTTATCTTGCCCACCAAGACAGGCAGTTAGAGCACACCTTGGATACTTCCAAAGTTATCAAAGTCTTCCGGTATGTTGACGATTATTTAATCGTACTAGAAACCGATGATGACGACTTTACAACCATGGTTGCTGAAGTTCTAGACAGCTTTAAAGGCTGCATGAACCCCCTAACATTAACCACGAACTTCCAGTTGACCACTCGTTAAGATTCCTGGATCTGCGACTTTTTATTTTACCTGATCATGTATGCTGGTCCTATGAGCCCAGAGGGAAAAAGCCGCTTCTACCTTTCAACTCGGCGCACTTGAAACTTGTCAAGCGGAGCATTGTGTGGTTAAGTCTCAACAACGCACTTACAAAACCATGCTGACATTCCATGCAAACAAGCTTCAACGGGCAAGTCTCTCGATTAAAATGCGCAGGATATCCAACCTCCTTACTAACATCAGTGGCCGAAAGACTCATCAAAGACATCAAGCAAGGGGACCACATTAAACAAAAAGAAAAAGACAGGGCCAAAAAAACCGATCATTGTGCCATATTCACAACTTTTCACACGGTCTAAAGAAAATAGCTAATAGAGTTAACCTGGACATCGTCTTCTCAGCCCCTAACAAACGTTATAGCCTGTGCAAGAGAGTAAACACACCCACAAGAACCACAGTCCAAGTGCACGAAGAAACATAAAAACAACTTCGTACAGTGTACCGAAAAGGTGGTCTACTCCTTCCCTCTATCCTGTGGACGACAATACATAGGACAGACCGGACGGTGTGTCAACGATCGCCTTCGTGAGCACAACTGCACTATCACCAACAAAAACTCCGGACACCTGGGAATTCACTGCCGAGACTGTGGCTGCACAGCGCAGCTGGAGAAATGCACAGTGTTAGGCAGGAACTACGACAGCTGACAAGAGAAATCATGGAAGCAGAGAACATTGCCAGGCAAAAAGAGAGATGTGTCAGCACTCCTTCCATAATGTTATCCAACAAAGAACTAGTGTACTTAGCCATACAATAATTTTATGGTTTCGCTTCGTATTACAAAAAACACAGGAAAAAGAAGGAAGAAGAAAAGGGCAATTTTTTGCCATAAAAACCCTAGTCCCAAAGAAAGACGAAAACGAAAATTGTAAATATAACTTAGAGTTGTCAGTCAGCGCTCTGTAAGTGGCACTTTCTTTTGTGTGCATGAAAGCTTAGAGTTCTTTATTTAAGGGTGAGCTATTTCCTTGTCAGTCACTGGGCTAGCTTCGGAGGTTATAAAACAGAACGAAAAACACGCGAACACAGAAAAACCTTGCCTTTCACTGGAACCTTCTTGCTTTCTTAAACGAGCTTCAAGTGTCGCAGTAAACGGGAGCCTCACCTCATGTTCTCGTGGCTGTAAACGGCGTCCTTCTTAACCTGCAGCGCGTTGGCGAGATGAGGGTGGACAGAGAAGCCATGGCGCGCAAGTCGAATGGCGTCCTCGAAAAGCGCCTCCCAGCTCACGTTGGACCCCATCCGGTCCAGCAGGGCGCGATACCCGCGGAGTTCGCCGGGAACGGCCACAGCCAGACCCCCTGTTTCATAAAATGTTTGCTTGAGCCGATTTACATAACCCTCTGGAAGCCATTGTTTCCATTCCCTTGTTTAGTTAATGCGTTCGCATAGAACACTCGTTTTCATGAAAATCCTGCGGTGTCTGTCGTTTGTGAGCGACGGGGAGAAATGGAAAATGAGGGGGAGAGGGTGACGCGTGCGACGCTCCCATTGGTCCGAAGCGATGACGTCAGCAGGCGCCAAACTCTCCCTCCCTCCCCGGCGCTGACAAACTGACAGACACCGCCGGGTTTTCGTGAAAACAACCGTTTTCCTTTTTATCAAAGGAGCGTCGCGCAGCTGGCACGGATCCAGAGAGGAGAAGGCGCCGCGGCGCATTGGAATGCGGGCGTGCTCAGTTGCCGCTCTGCCGTCGCCGGATGTTCTTCGCTCTGGGTTTCCGTAATAGCGGTGCGTGGGCTCTGATGTGTGTGTAGTTAAAACGATGTATGCGGTTTCCTCCACAAGTGATATAGATGCGGTTCCTTCCCCGATTGGTATGAATGTGGTTCCTTCCACGAGTGACACGGATAACCGCATCCAAGGGCGTCGACGTACTCTGACAGGCAGAGTACGAAAAAAGGGGTGAAGCAAATTACAGGAAGATCCATTGGTTGATTCTTAGAGAATGCGTTAGCACGACTCTTGTAAAACGCCACACAAGTCTCCCTTTGGGGAAATGCTAACACGGACCCCGTAACGAGACCAAATAGAGGCAGCGAAATATAGACGAAGCAAAAGAGAAAGTCGAAACAGAAAAGTGACCTTCGCGTTTCTTAAGGGTCATGATAACGCACCTCCTAAAAATCCACAATGGATCTTTTTCTCCGACGACCGGATGATCGAGTAAAGTAAAGATATGTAGATACAATGAGGAAGAAATAAAAAAAGCATACGAATATGAACTTCAACGAATCATTCTTTTTTAACCATGGCGAGTCCCAAGACTCTTATGATCCCTCAGCAACCAATCAGAAACTGCCTTAGCAGATGAGAACATCGAGGAACGAATTACAAACGGAACAAACCGCGCACTACTTGTTTAGGCTGTCAGAGACTGTACGTTGCTATGGACGGAGTTTGGAAGAGTACGAACCAGCAATAAATCCTTCAACTAAAAGTAGGTCCGCGAAACAACACTGAGCACGCAGGTTCACGTTCTATCGTTGCGCACAGTGTCACTTCAGAGACGTAATGTTTTTCTGGAATTGTCTTTCGTCACTCGCCATTTGCCCTGCTTCGTCTTCTGACGAACCCGGTCACTGAATCTCCCAATGATCTGCGCGTAAGCACGCGCACGGACGAGGTCTAGTATGTGCATCTGCTGAAGAGCTGTGAAGCACAGCCGTCCTTTGGCCCACCATTTCCGAACGTCATAACTACTAGGAGCAGTTGCAGGCTGTCCTCATATAGTGTGCGGCAAATTTGTCACCTGTCTGAGCCAGCTTGGGGTTGGAAACAAACATATCCTTCGTGGCGGCCGCGGGCGCTTTCTCCCTAGCAATCAAGGTCTGTGCCTTTCTTGTTTTCCTGCAAAGCAAAAAGAGCCTGACTTTAAAGCGCGGAATCATTGTTAATCACGTCGTTTGAGCCAGCAACACGTACAAGTCGTCCTCAAGCGAATGATACACCGCTATGCCCAGAAAACAGTGTGCTTTATCTCACAATGTACTATATCTCACAAACATCGACAATAGCGACAAAAGCACGGGAGCAAGTCTGTAACTTTCAAAGTTTTTTTTTTTTTTTTTGCGCGAATACTTGTAAAATTAAAAATATTCGGCTGACCTAGGCTCCTGCGCCCGTGCCCGCACTGCAGACTTTTGTAATATGCAGTATGGTCATTGACCTACCTCCAATCAGCTCACCCAATGAGAGTGATCTGTAGCATGCTCTTAGGGTAGCGCAGTTTCACTGGAGCATGGAAACCTTTCTGTCACACACTATGCATGATAACCCGAGAGCAGGCGTAAACACGTATTTAAATGGAGTAACTTAATACCGACACTCGTTACTCATCCAAAAAGTAAGTTCGCACGTTACTGGGATTCAAGAGGAACGCGTTACGTCAGCTTGAAAGCAAAGCGTTATTTGATTTCCCAATGCATCATTTTTATGATGCAGTATACCGCTTCCAATACAGGCCGTCGCTAATAGTTCTTCGCTTTTTAACGCGCTCATTCGGAGCTTTGAAGCCGCGCCTAACGGCACCTAAACTCCCCTGTCCGTAGTGAAGCCGCAATCTGATGGATAGGCTCCCACTGGCTGGCGCGCGTCATCAAGGGACGAGGCTCCCATTGGCTCTTGCGCGGCGTAGTTAAAAAAAAAAAAAAGTAATCAGAGAGGCCCTCTCCATGGCGACGCAGCGCACGCAGCGGCCTGGCCGCCGGTACGAGGTGCGGACCTGGCCACACAGCCAATACCTCCTAGAACACAAGGCCTGCGCGTTTCTTCCTCTAAACGTCATCAGTAGTAGATCCCCTCAGCGCCCCCTAGGTAGCCCGGATGAGTACCGTCGTCTGCTACATCGTCTGCTCCATCACCTGCTTCAGTAGTCGAGCTCAGAACGAGCTCACATTGCTAAATTCGGCAATCTTGATGGTGTCGCATGCACGTTGCAAATGAGCTGTGGCAGCTCATTATTAGCTCGCGCTAAGCAGTCGCGCACGCAGCTGTGGCCGCCAGTAAATGCGGCGTAGTTCCTCCGAAAACACATGCGTTGGCAGACTTGTACGTAATCCGTTACAAGTAACGAAATTACTTGTAATCCCTTACATTTATCAGTAATTTTGTAACGGAATAATTACCTATTTTCTAGAGCCCTTTTAAAGTAATTCCCTTACACTTTTGGCGTAACGGATTCCTTGTAATCCGTTACATTTTTTGTCAGAACCCCCCCCCCCCCCCCCCCCCCACACTCGAAATAAATGTTTTTCTCTTTTTTTTTTTTCATTTTTGTAAAGTCGAGCGCAGTGACACTGTCACGCGAATCGACCAGCGCAAAGTGAGGCTTGGCACTCTTCAGTTCCGCAAAGCCTTTTTTTGCAACACCAAGCCCCTGAATTTATCATTTTTTTAGACCCTAACATCAATGTCGAAAAATCCAAATAAACGATTCACGAAAAAAAAAAAAAGGGGGGGGGGGGGGAGGGCAAGTTATTTCCGCTTTTTTTTTTTAGTCCCTGTGTTTTTCTTTGCGATCGAAGACGGGGAGAGGTGATTGTGCGCCTCTATGAGAAGCTCGAGGCGGTAAGTGCACGTAATGTCACAACAGGAGACAACACTCCGTCTACCCTACCCTTTTCGTGAGTCAGCTTTTTGCGAGCATTTAGAAAATGATAATAGTCTTCCTTTCTTCTTCCTGTTTTGCCCCAGCAGGGTGCATCTTGTCTCAAGCAGATATTTTTACAAATAAAACGTAATGGTGGCTGACGTAGACTTGATATTCTGGGCTTGAGGAGAGAGTGGAATTCGTGAGTTCCACTCTCTCCATAGCGCGGCTTACTTAGTACTCTACACTTTGCTGCCCGTGGCATCAGTGGACGTCTATCTGGAGAGCACCGGACTAAACTGCAGTCGGTTCGTTCTCCGTGCGTTTTTGAACGGCACAAAGAAAGGTACACACGGCGAACGTGCGTTTACATTTCCCTGTTTTAACCGACGTTCTAATTAATTGTTGTTATGAGAGTCCTTCTTTTTCTTTTATTACTTACATTTATATAGTGGAAACTTTTTTTTATTCACCAACGTCTCAAGTGAGGCTCGAACTGTTCAGAACCAAAGGAAGAAGAATATCGAGCCAAACCTTATTTATTATTTAATTATCACCTTACTGTTACAACTAGGTTTTGCTACTGATGGCTTCTTCAGCTTCGCGATTTAGAGAATGGAGAATTTTAGTAGATCGGTCCGATGACTCCGATAACGATATTCGATACTTCGCCGCCGTCTTTGCGTATGCATCATATCGTTATCGAGTACCGTTATCGCGGGTATCGGAGGTACCGGAAGGGTCTACTAAATCTCTCGAATAGCAGGCAACGGCTGCAACGACGAAGCTTTGCTCTACATTCGAGGTAAATAGTACTTCCCTTGCTTCGCTGAAAAAGCTCAATGCAGGGCATGAAGCATTCGTGAGGAACAATATGGCACTTCCATCCAGTGCATCAGCTCAAACGGTGTTCAGCGTAGCAGTCGACTTATTGATTAAAGACCGACGACCAGTTCGCGCTTTCCACTTTTCGCCCGCTTCCTCCTCTCCCTCCTACCCTTTCCACCCACGCCCGCCCCTCTTGGTCCCTTCTTTCCATCCTTCGCTTCCCTCGCCCGAAGGCGTGGAGAGGAGGGTCTTCTGCCTTGCAGAATCTCGAGTCTGGTCGTCGGCCTTTAAGAGATAATGCAAAATGTCTGACGAGACATTCGGGAGCCAGCTGTCGCTCAAAATACTCAAGGCCATTAAATGGAACAGGTGGCAACAATAAGAGCTTGAATAAGAGCCCTTCCCTTTGTTTCTTAGTTGAGGACAATAATGTTAAAAGTAACGCCACGAAATTAACGGATTACTTTTTGGGGTAACGGTCAGTTACTTTAATGGGAGGGTAATTGTAATTGTAATAAATTACAATTTAGCCTCGAGTAATTGTAAATGTAATTCCTTACTATTTTTCAGTAACGTGTACAAGTCTGTGCGTTGGTCCATGGTCCATGGTAGTTGGTCCATGGTCGGTATAAGGTTTAAAAACGCAAACAGACAGGGATGATAGGAAATAACACAAACGACTGGGACAAGCCGCTACTCCTGTCGTTTGTGTTATTTCCTATCGTCCCTGTCTGTTTGCGCTTTTAAACCTCACACCTTCCACGCCAATACGCCGCAGACGAACTAAGGGAGCGGAAGAACGACATTCGTGCTTTCGCATTCACAACTCATAACAAATGCTTAGGTGACCTCGAACTTTTTTATGTCATACCTTTCTCGTCATGCAAATTACAGACCCTAGCTGGGAAGAGAACTCGGCTGGGCATCTGGGCTGTACACGTTCTCCTCTAGGATTAACTAAATACCGTTAATGTTACTTCGTCAACGAGTCAGAAATATACATTAAAATTTCTTTCATTAAGAGGCCACGTTACGTCGTTGCCGAAAAAATTAACTGGGTACTTGTAGCGCGTTACATACAAATCTGCTCGAGAGGAGAGGCGAGAGCGCTGTACCTGGTGTACACGGTGGCCAGGAACCCGCCTCCCATGCCCATGGAGTGGGGCAACACCACGCCCATGCAGAGCAGCGTAGCCACGGCAACGTCCGCGATCGTGCCCCCTCTCGCCTGCACCTTCCTAGAATGAAAGCAGCGTTCACCGTAATCCACACGCTTGTTTTCATGAATATAAAACTCTGGGCGATCCAAATTTGTACGCCAAGTTCGGTGTTACGTCGCAGTACTTTAGTGTTCCGGCTGGCCTACCAGCGGAGACGGGTCCATGTCGCTGTTAGTAGACCAGTGCATCGCCGCCAGGCACGTATGTACCTTTCTGAACTTCTAGAGTGCAATAAGGTCCCTTTATACACGACCATGCTGTTATCAAGCAAGTCCGCATTTGCTGGGTGTGGATACTGCGCGTGCTCAAAGACGAGCTTCGCGTGAGGTCTGCCAATGCTCCTCGCCAATAGCAGCGCCACCGCAGCGACATGTCGTCGGCGCCGCACGTCAGTGTATACTGAAAGTAACACGAACTCAGCTTTCCTCCAGGAACATCTTCAAATATTTGTTTTTCTTGGCGTCCACACACTATCCTTCCTATCAGAGACGGGCACTGACTTCGCGCGCGCTCCTATTACCTTGTTTTCTCAATTTATCACCCTTGTTTTTTGGGTGTTTTTTTTTTAACCCGATAGCGGCTTTTGTCGCAAAAAAGCCGTCGTCGGTGGCGTCGTGACAATCCCGATTAATCGATAGGGTCATGACGTCACAGCAACGCGAACTCGCGCGGGAATTTCAAACAAATACGCTCAGGTGAAACGAGACGTCACGGTAAAAACCCGACATGCAATGCGATTTGAAGGTTGCCGCGTGTCTCGAAAAATATCCCTTTATAAAGTAAATAATTCGCTTTCCCAAAACATTTGAAGAATTTTAGGAGGGATTCGAACCCACGAACTTCCGGTTACGAGCCTGACACTGACCAGGCCGTGCATCCGCCGCACATCCTGGGGCCCTAAACTCGCCGAACACCAAGTTGGAGCCGAAAGTTCGCGGAGCTTGCCGATTGGACGCCGGCGAAAAAAGTGCGAGGTCATCGTCGGGACGGTCCAGTCGGTGTACACCGTGAACTTCGGCCCGAACTTTGTATTTGACGAGTTTCGAGCCCCTGCTCACTGGCGGGAAGAGCACGAGAAGCGAAGGAGAAGGCGATGCGAACAGAGCTCGATGACGCCATCGCGTTCCACGCTTAACGCCGAAACTTAAACGTCCTCCAAGTGTGTGTGTTTTTTTTTCTTCTTTTCTTGCAGTTGTTTTTATTATGATCGTCCCAGCTTAAAGGGAAGCTGAAACACTTCTTTCAAAAAATAAGATAAAGGTTGATTCTCGCGTAGTTTGATCCCGTGAATCGGAATATCATGTACGTTTTCCCCGTAGATGTAACTAAACGAGAGAAAACCTGGAAAACCTCCGACCATTCGTGACATCATAAGAGGATATTTGGGCCGTCAAGCGCGTGTCGCTCGTGTGGGCTGCGCGTGCAATCGCAAGTTTGCCAGGTATATTCTCCCGCACTGGCACCGACCGTGACGTCTTTTTCGGCCTTTTCTGCAGCGGAGCTGTTAAGCGCTAGTTTCCCCAGGATCGTGTCCGGTACCAAACAAATGTCGACACCCGTGGTTGACACAACACTCTGGTTGCCGCTGTCGCTCATAGATGGCGCTGGCTGTCCAGAGAGTTGTGTTTGCCGGTTGTCTGCTTGCTGCCGTCGCTCATAGATGGCGGCAACATTTCTTCGGAGAAAGAAGAGCGGGAACGGAACGAGCGGTGATGTGCGAAGCAGCGCGATTGGTTCCGCGACCGCCACGAGGCGCTATCGCCTAAAGTTCTACTGCATTGAGCGCTTCAGATTCCCTTGAGAAACAAGAGCAGATCGCTTGCCTAGAAAGCCACCACCGAGAACAGAAGCTACAGCTCCGCTGCTCTTCCTTCTTCACCCAAATAAAAAAAAAACTAATTTATATATTTTTTATATATAGCGACGGTGCGCGCACACAGCTAAAGAGGCTCGAGAGTGGAGATTCCGAAAACTCCACTTGTGACGTCACGCTCCGGGAAGTAGGGCCTTCAATGGTACTTTCAAAATATTTTTTTTCCAGCCTCCACATACCAAATTTAAAAAAAAAAAAATCAATATTCGAGATTCACGGAGGTCAAAAGAAGACGATTTAAGTGTGTTTCCTCAAATACAAAACCGCTTAAGCTTCCATTTAAGTTCAAGCGTAGCGGACGCGGTAATGAAACCAGTCAAGCAGCGTCTAAAGCTCAACTCACTCGATCTTTTCTGTCAATGGTTGTTTCAGCGATGGTAAAAGACATACAGCAACCTGACGAACAACGTGAAAGTGCACGTTTGATGCAGTCTAATTGGCCCATCAACTCGTAGCGTCGGCAGCGTCTGGACTTAAGCTGAAACGAAGTATAGTAGGCGGCATTTCTAAATGCCGTTTCATCATAAGTCAGAGCGCAGTCGAAGACTAAACGACACGGAAACGCATACACACAGACTGCATACGCATTGTCACGGTGCGCGTTTTCGATCTGACTGGATCAGCGACAAAGAGCACACCCAAAGAAAGATCCTGAGACCCGTGACGTTTTATTCATGACGTTCCTTGACTAGGGTCATCGACTCGTAGCTTCCACTGCGCTCTGAAGATATATGGGTGTTTTCTATCCGCCCTCTCTTCTACCCACTCAGTCTCCTTCATTTTATTTTTTCCTTGCTATCACGCGCTCGCCCGTAGTTATGATTGCCCCAGAATAGCAAACGGCGCTATTCAAAGGATGTGGCTAGTTTTCCGCGTGGAGGGTTTTTAGGGGATCCCAGCGATGCGGAGCGCAAGTTTGTCTGCTTTTTGCACACGGGTTGCGATTGATGCCAGGACGCCAGGCTCTTATTGGCTCATTAAAAAAAAAAAAAATAGTGGGTACCTCAAGGTGCCTAGCATTCACGTCTACCCCCGATCCTTCCAATCAAAGCCAATCAGAACTCGGCGTCATTCTGACGTCACCGCAACCCCCGTGCAAGAAGCAGACGACTTGCTCTCCCCATACCAGGTAGAAGACAAGGCCCCCCTGAACGCCATCGCTATCGACGCAGCGCCACTTAGCTTGCGTTAGCATCGCCACTAGCCTAGCGCATCCGTCTCTCAACGAGCGCGACGCGCAACAAGGCCGAGACAGACGCTACTTTCGTGGAACTTTAGCCTGTCTTGGGGCGGGGATCCACTAACGATGGCGTCATGAGCAGGCCTTGTCTCCTAAGTTGTCCCGGACGGTCAGAGCCCCACCTGGCGACTGGGGCGCACAGCGACGCATCCGTGGCCACCGCCCAGCTGCTGAAGTTGCCCAGGACGGACTCCGAAGCCTCCAGCACGAGCCCCTCCTCGGGCAGCGTACGTCTCGAGAAGAGCAGGGGCGAGAGGGCGCAGAACACGACCATCGCCAGAAGCACCAGCACGAGGCCCACACGGACGCCGGTCTTGCGGAACATGCTCCTTCTGCATGGGGGCCATAGGGGGCAGGTTGTCGTCAGTCGAAAGTAATCCTCACCTCATTTTTCTTCTAGAAATATAAATTAGTACGATATTAAACGCCCTAAAAATCTGATAGGTAATATTTATGCATTAGCTGCACAGCCGCGTGGCCGATTGAGACGATACCGCCCAGAACAAAAGGCCTGCGACTTTACTTCTCTAATGACTCTCCATCCACACCAAATGTGAAAGATAGCCCCATCCTTCAAACACGAGGAGTTTAAAAATACTGGAAGGGGGCACGTTCCAGCTTTTCTAAAGCCTAGTAAAAAAATAATAATTGAAGACGTTTACAATTTTTTTGTAATGCCGAATTACAGCGCAGCTCTTAAGGAGGAGGAGTGGAAGGTACGAGGAGGAGGGTATGCCCCTCAAACTACTCCGTACCTTCTCCTCCTCCCTTCCTCTCCTCCCTCTTCCCTCTTCCTCCATCCTCCTCCTCCCCTACCTCATCCTCTTTCCTTCCTCCTTTCCTCCTCCCCCTCTCTCCCGCCTTTCTCGTGACCCTAGTGACCCTCCTGATCTTACTCGTGAAGGCCTCGTGAAGGTCACTGTGAAAGTCATGACGTTCACGAGTGACCTTCGTGACGTCATTATAGGAAACGTCCCATAATGCAACGCGCGGTTACGCCGACGGCGACGGCGACGCCGCTCAAGCCGGAAACGGGCGCCTAAAAGCTGCGCTATAAAAGTTAGCGTAAGAACCATATGATCCTGTCAGGTGAGAGTTGGGTGGTTGCTTGTGGGATCTGCTCGGTAGCGTTGCCCCATTGCGCTCGCTTGCGTCCGGTAGGTTTTACGACAGCGAAGCGAAGGCGGTGGGCGGACGACGGACCACGACGAGCAGACGATCCGAGCTGCTGAGCAGTTTGAGAAACGAAAGTGTGTGTGTGTGGCGTCGCGCGCCGCCAAGACTGGGATGGTCCTTTGCAGAATGAGCGGCTGCAGAAGTCGCTTCTGTCATCCTTCCGTGAGGGTTTTGTTTCGCCGGCATGAACCTCGTGGATTACGTGAACGTCGCAGTAACATGAATTAACGGTGCTCTCAGCTTTCCGAGGGCCATCGAGCTGCGCAAACGGATGAAATTCTGCCCTTGGCCACGGCGAGGGCCCGCTCGTGGACTGAATCCCATCGAAATGATATTTCGTGCGCTTCAAACCTGATGTTTTCGACAGGAGCGTGCCAGGTAGTGTATCCTTCCAAGTCAAATTCATGTGGTTCAACGTTTGCCACGATACATATTATAATATCCCGTGAAATGTGGAATTTTTAATACTCGACGATAAACAAAAAAAAAATTGGCAAGCGACCTTTACCTTTAAAGTCCTATAATGCATAAAATGCATTCAAGGATATTTGTGAAAATTGGTGTGCAACGTTACGTATATTTTCCCGCTAAATTTAGCGGGGCTACTGAATGATTGTATAGGTCACGTGACCTCAATTTCCCCCGCTAAATGTAGCGGGAAAACTGGATTTCTGTCTGGGTCACAAGACGTGAAGTTTCCCGCTAAATTCAGCGGATAAACTAAGTTAAAGTATAGGTCACGTGCCGTCAATTTCCCCAATGTGCACACTTGACATTACGTGACGCCACTTTCCCGCTCAATTTAGCGGAAGAAGCACTGACGGACAAAATTTTGGGACTGGGGTAGCGTTTAAAAGCATTTCATGTTTAAAACAAGACATGTGCAATGATTTTAAGAAAGCCAGTGGATGGAAGGCTAGCACTCAGCGTCATTGTTCACCGAGCGAGCAAGTCGGCCGTCTTTCCCCAGCTTCGTCCTAGGTGCGGCCGATCTCTCGGAGCAGTTCGGGTTTCCCTGTCGTCGCCGGGACCACCAACATGGACTCTGGAGAGCCCAGCAGCAATGGCGTTAGCCCGGAATGCTACAACAACCCACGTGCATTGTTGCAATGCAGCAATAAAAAGAGGTACTGTTGACAAAGGAACCCGTTTGGAAACCTATTTTGAGTGGCCGTCAGCAGGAACAATCACCGGGGAAACTCGTAAGTATTGAGTTGACCACGTTAGGTCAATATATTTTTGCTAGCCAAGTGGGTGATTAGAACGAAATGGCTGTATATACTCCCGAATTTCTGTCAATGTACACACATTTGTCAGACGATCGTCGACACAATCGCTCTACTAGCTTGTCAATATTCCACGTTAAACACTATCTCTTGATCGGTGGTAACCATTTGTAAAGAAAATAATTATTTGACTTTATAGTGGCGATGATACATAATGAAAGAAGGAAGCAGGCGCACAGTTGTTCTCCGATGGTCCGGTTGTGGAGGCCTCTCCATAGGCGTTCATATCCTACGGGTATTACCGTTGAACCCACAAAAGTGCAATTTTCTCCGTACACACAACCCCCATCCGCTCAAGGCATGATGGGAAGTCTTTATAGGAGAGAAGGATTTGGGGAGGAGGACGGGGACGAGGAGAGCCCTAAGAAAAAAAATGTCTCGGAAAAGCTACGGGCCACGGCGTCATGCCCCCTCCTACCAATTGCAACTCCTTGCTAGCACCTACTAATCCTGCAGCCCGCCCACCCTTCCCCCCCCCCATCCCTTTCTTCCCTGTGAGGAATGGCTGACTTCGACCCCCAGGTACCGACGTACTCACCGCACGTTAAAGGGATACTGAACCAAAATTCGGATTTCGCAAAATACTGCCGCAGAAGCGTTGAACGGGAAGCTACGAACGTCAAAACATCCCACATACATCAATAACTCAAGCGGATGGCCGTACTTTTGGAAAAGAAGGGCGCCATCAAGCGAGAACTCTGACGTCGTTGTTCTCCTGGCAAATTTGAGAATGAGGGGAAGCGGCCTCGATTCTCTCCTCCTCGCATCGGTTCACCAACTCGACGGGGCGTAGCGCGGAGGAGAGGGAATGAGAATCGTGACGTAACTTGTCTCGTCGGCCTAGCCTGCCGTGTTCGATTGCGCCCTTCTTTTCTAAAAAAATACTGCGATCCGTTAGAGATGTCGCTGTATGAGTGATGTTTTTGGGGTTCTGGAGCGTCCCGCCTATACGTCCAGGCTTGTTTTGTGAGCTCGAAATTTCGGTTCAGTATCCCTTTAAGCCCTAGTCGACCACTGCAGTACCCTCGGGGAATCCATCCGCGACGCGTGAGACGGACAAAAACTCGAAACACAAAAAAAATATATATAGGTATATATATATTTTTGTTTTTTTAGACCATGATGCAACGCTGCATTCGGCTCGAGCACTCCACCGGAATTCATGTCGGTCTCATTCGTCTGCTTTCCACCAATGCCCTCTTAAGGCTGAACTCCATGGAGCGAATTATGCGACGAATAATTGACGAACTTTGCTCGACGGCGCGCTCGCTTCGTGCGCAACGTAGCAGCCACAGTGCTGATGCCACGCGCAGAGCAAAAGCCGCCTGGCAAACTTCGTCTATTTTTCGCGGCATATTGGCCCCATGGAGTGCAGCCTTTATGCGCAGACGCCACCCCGGAGGCAGTGTTTTTCAGATTGCTCGAGTTGCTCCGCGTCGTGATCGACTGCGCCAGCCAAAGTAGTTGGGGATCTGAAGGAGCATCGGCTGGTACTTGAATTCTGTACATACCGGCCTTGAGCAGTGGGCTCCTCGGCGACCAAATCGGCGACCGCTCCGAAGGAAAAGTGCGCGTTCATCCCGAGTTCTTTCACTGCGCTCACTTGCGCGTTTTCTCAAAGACGACGCCTTATCACTGCAGTGTTCCCCGTCTTGCGTCGCCGCGAGCGCAGCATCTCACAACGTGCGCGACGCTAGCAGGCGGCGACGCCCCTTCGCCGCCGCCTGTACTTTCGTCGAACGCGTGTTTTCACTAACGTAATCCTTATGTTCGAGGCAGCGTTGATTCAAGTACCCTGTCCCTCGAGACTTTCTTTTACAAGTAACGACAACTAACGCTCATGCCAAAGCACATTTGGCGGGAACAAAACAAAAGCGTCATTCAGGTCATTCGCTGGCGTCCTAAAGCCCACACCGTCATACAGTCGAGTCTTAAAAGTTTCGCCTTTGTTATGTGACAGCGCATCTGATGCTCAGCTGTTTCGTGCAGCATGTGTGCCGATTCATCGTACAGATATCAAGCAATGAGTCCGGTTTCTGTAATAAGCTTCCATGTTGGCGCCATACTTTTTCGTCTCTCCTTAGTTCCTCAAGTATCTGCTCTGCGTACTCTAGTTTTTTGGTGGCCATGTCTGGTATCCTGAAATCAGCTTGACGGGAGCTTAGATACAAGGTAATGATATCTTCACCGAAACCGATTTCTAAAAAAAGAAAGGTTAAGTCATCTATGAAAATTACCTTATTACAACTGAGTTGCTTGGCCAGGCGGACACTTCGTACAAACAAGATGGCAAATAAAAGTGGACTTCTTAACTAAAATCAAATAATTAGCTTTTTAATTACTGGTTTTATGGCACCAGCACATACCGTATTACGAAAATAAAGGCCACCACCTACACCAGCTCCCCCCCCCCCCCCTTTTCTTTTTTTTTTTTTTTTTTTTTGTTTCTAAATCCTGAAATGAGCATGCAGCTTTCGAAAAAATGATTGCGAAAAAGATTCTTGCATGCAAAACGGGTTCCGGGGTACAATAGACTTTCGGAGCGCCACTGCCTTTGGTGAGATGCTTTTCTTTCATTTTTTGTGTGTAACTATGTACTTGTTTCAGGATTTCTAAGAATGGCTAGTCAAAGACGTTGATTGTTCAATTTCGCAATATCTCCTGCCCTCAAACCAGGACTCAAAAACGTTAATAAACAAATATTAAATAATTCGTACATTTTTAGTGCCCACAGAGTGTGTAGCTCTGGCAAAGTTACTCGTTCGTAATGAGATCATATGTGTAACTAATAAATGTTTTGTTTTACAAAAGTATATTCCGATTCAAATGAATCACCCTGTTACCCTTTAAGATTAGCGTCAGCACCTTTAGTTTGGGGTGCTTCGTACCGTGCATTCTACACTGCGTCACGCCCTTATAAGGCGCTCTTGCACAGGGATGCTAATTTTCACCCCAGAAGTGTGCTCGTCCTGGAACCTTAGGGGTGTAAATAAGGGGTGTAAAAGAAGTTCAGTATGATATAGCCGTCCGGCCCAGATGTGAAGTTTTCAGAGCTCACCGTTACCCAAATGAAAAAGTCATAAGCGATTTCCGGAAATTTCAAATAAGAAATTGCTGCCGACGAAGCACACGAATGCACGCAGAGTAATGGCGTCGACTACCGGGAACAAGCCCCATTTTCTCGTCGGAAATTTCCCGGATATCGCTTCTGAATCAGTTAATGGCAATGTCTGAAGCTTTTGCATCGGAGTGATTTTGAAAGTGTTTCATATTCATATCACTTTTTATATTGCTGTATCCGCAAGGTGCGGTTTTCGACACCCAAGATATAATTATAGAGACCTACAAGTCTCTATGGCTCTGACGGGCCCGACATTGTGCATTCGTCGCAATTAATTCATCGCTAAAACGTGTAATATATATATATATATATATATATATATAGAAGAATAAAACGTGGTCTCAAATAAACAATTCACACATTTCGGGAGAAAACCAACGTACGTACAGACGCGCCTCCCCTCTGTCCGTCCGCTTGTGTTCTCCTTAAATCTGCAAATCGCAAAACCAAGCTTCTCCTCTTGACAAATAAACAAGTTATTTCCCTCGTCCATCTTATCCTCGCTAAACAAAGTAGCGCGTCAACTTAGCAGACGGGAGCACAGACCCAGACCCCACCTAAAAAACGAGGCCTTTTTCCACGCATACGTCATCACTAGTGGTCCACCGCGCAGCGCCGCCCAGCTCGTGTCAGCATCGCCGCGTGTCGCAACGTCGGAGCGCGACGCCAGCACGCGGCGACGCCAAGACGCGTGGGTCTGTCGCATTGCGACTCTCGTTGAGCTTCGGCGTGTCTCCACTAACGATGACGTCATGCGCAGGCCTTGTCTTGTTGAACGGTCAAGACGCATGCGGAAGGGTACCTGTGTGGACGCTCCTGTTCCTGGTCGATCAGAAGCTCGTACGGGGTGGACTCGCTGCCCCTGGCCACGAAGCGGGACGGCCTTCGGAGAGACGGTAAGAGATAGGGTGACCACCCGTCCCGCGACTCGCGGGACTGTCCCGCATTTAGGGATCGTGTCCCGCGTCCCGCGAGAAATTCCGAAATCTTCAAAATGTTCCGCATTTCAAACTGTAGTAAAATAAAATTCATTCTGCAACTCATGGCCCTGCCGAACAACGGGGCACGGAGAAGCGCGGAGGTAGCTGGTAATCGTGTAAATCGCAATGGTACACCATTTTCTATCCGAGCATTGCGGGAAGCGACCGTCGTTCTTGCAGGAGAACCGACGCGCATGCTCCGTTGTGCCTCTCCCCTTGGTGGCAAACTATTCTAAAACAATTGCTCGCCGAGAGTTTCAATATAAAATATTGTAATTATTTTCAGATCGCTGTGTCAATGCGGAAGGGTTGCTTTGGATTTTTGTTTCAGTGAAGAGAGCCACACAATGGAAAAAGCCTGCAACTCGCAACGGTCAAAAAATAACATAATGTTAAACATATGTGTAGGACCACGTTGATAAAAGTAAGCGTTGACAGGAAAAAATAACTCGAAAAAGAATTACTGTTTCTTTTTTCCACTTGATGAATTAAGTTCTGCTGTAGTCGACTTTTATGTTTTCAACTTCGACGCATTTAATAACACATTTGGCATAAAAATATATTACTGGGAGTGAAAATTCATTGAGCTTAATCGCTGCAATACAATTAGCAGGTGTATAAACAGCACAGGATATTAAATGTGTTAACAGGGCCTCGGTTCGTGGTGTGTCTGTTAATAAATTTCCTCTTCCGTTTGACTTATATTATTTTATTATGCATTTTCGTGAATCATTTTCTTCTCCACTATCTATATCTACCCGGCCCGTCCCAACCCCTTTTGACGTACGTATCTCTCTCTCTCTCTCTATATATATATATATATAAACAACGGGCATGGCGGCGGGAGGCCGAAGGCGGGGGTATAAAACTGAGAAGAAAAAAACCCTTAGTGAAAAACAGCAACAACGGACGATTTAATCTTCGACGTTTCGGCCGGAGTCCGGCCTTCGTCAGGAAGCTTCCTGACGAAGGCCGGACTCCGGCCGAAACGTCGAAGATTAAATCGTCCGTTGTTGCTGTTTTTCACTAAGGGTTTTTTTCTTCTCAGTTTTATATATATATATATATATATATATATATATATATATATATATATATATATATATATATATATATATATATATATATATATATATCGCTGATTTTATCTGAAATCATGCACGAAAAAATTGTGGGTCCCAAAACATTGTGAAAAAATATATGTTGGTAAAAAATCTGTGACTACAATAAAACTGAAAATTAGAGTTACGGTTCATTTTGCTCATGAGTTTTGGGCTTCGAAAGGGCGGTAGGTAGGTCTTGTGATTTTCGCAGATTTCACGAATGACACATTTCGGAGTCTCGCAACGTTTAGATTACTTTTTTCGCAACAATTGTAACTTTTATTACTCGTTTACAACTTTGTATCGAAATGTTCAAATTCCTTGAGTTTTTTTTTTTATTATTCTTAAACTTTTCAACTATGACAATAATGGGCCGATTTGGAATCGAGCCAGAAATTTCGATGTGCAATTAAATAAGGCATAAGAAACATATAACATGAAAGCTTGTATCTAACTTTAGTTCTAAAACTTAAATTATGGTTCATTTATGCATTGTCTATATAGAAGAAACATCACTAAACTTGTGAAGAGAAGCTAGAAATACAAAACTTAACGTCATTAAAATATTATGTTTCCATCTTTTTCAAACTGCTGATATGAAAGGCCTTTTATGTGTTCCTTAATATGCAACAACATTTATTTTCCACATATGGTTTCGTCATATTACGCAGTCCGTTTGAAAAGAAGACATATTTCTACCTCAGTTGTAATATAAAAATATACCGGCCGTTGCCATATCTTTTACGTAATTATTATACATATGCTTGAAATGACACGCCAATATTTATGATATTTAAGCTCATTCAACATTTGGTAAAAATGAGGCAAATGAGGAATGAGGAAAAATGAATGAATTTCAAAAAAAGTTCAAGCACATTGTCACGAGCCGGTCCAAATCTGCTGTGTCATCCGCCCCACGCCCCGATTATCGGCGCTCTCTCTCTCTTATCGCACCGAGCATGTAAGCAGATGCTGGGCGGGCAAAATGCACAGGGCTTCTTATGTTATCAACAAGACGATTTGAAGGCGAAGCCCAAGCGCCGATGCATTAAAGGCAGACACAACTCTTAGTGTGCTGAGTCATCCTTCTAAATGAGCGGGGCATCCTTCTCGGTGTGCTGAGTCATCCTTCTCAACAATCTGATGAGTCATCACCTTAATTCGCTTAGTCATCCACTTAATTCGCTTGAATACCTCTTAATTCACTTTAGTTCCTCTTTATTCACTTCCTCTTAACTAGCTATGTTGCCCTTCTTAATTAGCTTTGATTACTCTTACTTCTTTATAATTTCCCTTAATTCAATTTAATTCCTCTTAATTCACTTTGATTCAACTTAATTCGCTTTATAGTCCTTTTAAATTCCCGTTGATTGCTCTTACTTTTCTTTATTACTCTTAATTCACTTTAATTCCTCTTAATTCACTTTGATTCCTCTTCATTCGCTTTGTCATGCTTAATTTCATTGCCTCCGATTCGCCTGAGTGGTCACTTAAACGTTTTGGTACCTTTCGTGTCGCTGAGGTGTTTTCACTCAAGGACTTTGAAGGTCCAGACCAGACTACACACTTGACTATTTCACCTCAAAAATCCTAAGATTCAAAGTTTTTCTTTAAATTGAGACGTTTCTTTTTTTTTTTTAAATATAACTAACATAAAAATTAAGTTTCACATACATTTAAGTCAGACAATGAACTGGCGCGATAAATTATTTTCAGAAACCCAGCGGGCCGAGTGCGAAATTTTGTTTCTTTCATACGCGGCCGCATTTCGTTTTATTTATTTCCCCTTAAGGGCCCTATTGGGCGTTTTATAAGGGGGGGGGGGGGGGTGTAAGTAAATATAATGCAACACTTTAAAAAAGAATATAAAGCTCAAATAGAAACATTAGTAATAAAAACTGCATGCAATGTCAATCTGCAACGACGGTGGTGGTTACCAAGGCGTAAGGTGACTGACGAAAAATTGATGGGTCTTCCATAATTACTATTTCCTTAGGGACGGAGTTCCAGGTGGTTATAGCCTGTGGAACGAAATAGTTGTTAAAGGATTGAGGTTTGTTTTGTTTTTTTCTGTTGTACGTTTGTTGTAGTGACTGTGATTGAGGCGGGATGATATCCTATTTTGAGGTAAAAGAGGGGTGTCATATGAGCTCGTGTTTTTGTGGTAAAATCGATGTATGAGACACATTCGAGAAGTTTGTCTGTGGTCGGATAGTAATAAAAGTTTGAGAGTATGTTTAAGTTGTGTTACACTGACGTCATAGGAATATGTTGACGTAATAAATCGAGCGGCGTGGTTTTGGATTGCTTCAAGGTTATAGGCGAGGTAGGCTTGTGAAGGATGCCACATGAACGATGCAGGGACAGAACGAGCGGGTTGGTATGGATAGTAAACTTGAGGAAGAAAACGAGAAAGGACTCCGTCCTTTCTCGTTTTCTTCCTCAAGTTTACTATGAACGATGCATATTCTAGTTTTGGGCGGACAAATGTTATATAGACCAGTTTTCCTAGGTGAGAGGGTGCCGATTGCAGATGGTGTTTTAAGTCTCAAAGGGCGCATGATGCTTGTGCTGTAACATTATTGATGTACTGAATTCATGACAGTGAGAGAACCCGATGAACACCAAGGTACTCTAAGTATAATGATACAGTGCCGATTACAACGCCGCTTAGAGAGTGTCGATAAAAAATAAGACTTATTTTTCGTGTGAATAATATAAGTTTGCTTCTCAAGGTTAAGAAGCATAATTACCATTTATCACACTAAGCGCCCATTCCTGGTAGGTCATTTTGCAGCGTAAGGTGATCAAAGATATTTGAGGCCGGGTCGTAAATGACGCTGTCGTCGACGAACAGTGATTTTTAATTGATATATGTAGCGGAATCTCATTTATGCATGTAAAAAATAAAAGTGGGGAAAGTCCTGCGCCCTGGGGAACACCTGAAGTTATGTCTGCAAGGGGTGATTTATGATTATTATCTATCGCGAACTGTGCTCGGAAAGTGGGCAAATGATGAATCAGAGATTAGGGCTGTGTCGAGGCGAAGCACCGAAAGCTCCGAGAAAAGACGATTATGTGGCACTTGATCAAAGGCCTTGGAAAAATCCAGGAATAGGATATCTGTTCAGGCATTTAGCCAGGATTTTGTTTCGGGGGGGGGGGGGGGGGGGGAGGGGGGGGGGGGCTACTCATGACAAAATGCTGTATGAGGGGGAGGGGGGAGAAGAGGTTCCAGCAAAATGGAAGATTTCGGGGGAAGGGGGGCGGGCCCCATGGGCCTCCCCCCTGGCTACGTGCCTCCATCTGTTTGATAAATGTTATTCATGTTTACGTGCAAGTCTTGAGTAAATTCGGTAATCTGGGAATCGCAAACAAGAGTTTATAGGAAGCCAGGTTGATATGGGTACAGATCATTAATCTAATTAAGGTGACTGATTAGGCTAGAACTGAATATATGTTCCAAAAAATCTGATGGAACACTGGGCAAACATATTGGACGGTAATTAGATGCGAGTGATCGGTTACTGCTTTTATGGGCAGGGACTCCCTAACGCAGAACCCAGTATAACTTTTCACTGTCTGAATTATGGAACTGGAAAACAAACTGGAATTGCTGCCTGAAAACTTGATATTCAGTTATCAAACAAATGAATAATTCCCGAAAAGCTGAAATTCAGATAGAATCCAGATAGATTTCTTCATAATCCAGATAGCGAAAAGTTATATTGGGTGTTTCGGTAGGGCTATATTCCCAATTTTCCTCTTTTTTTTCTACTTCGGCCAGTGGAGAGATATTG